GAAAATCATGGTACATCAACGGCATAGCGTCTTAGCCAGGGTTCCTACTGCTGTGCTGAAACACCATGACCAAAGCAAGTTGGGGAGGAAGGGTTTATGTGGCTTACGCTTCATCGTCACTTTCCATCACTGAAGGAAGTCAGGACAGGAACTCAAGCATGGCGGGAACCTGGAGGCGGGAGCTGATGCAGAGGCCAAGGAGGAGTGCTGCTTACCGGCTTTTTATCATGGCTTGTTCAGCCTGCTTTCTTACAGAATCTAGGACCACCAGCCCAGGGATGGCACCACCCACCATGGGCTGGGCTTTCCCATATAAATTATTAATTTTAGGCCGGGCGGTGGTGGCGCACGCCTTTAATCCCAGCACTTGGGAGGCAGAGGCAGGCGGATCTCTTTGAGTTCGAGGCCAGCCTGGTCTACAGCGCGAGATCCAGGAAAGGCGCAAAGCTACACAGAGAAACCCTGTCTCAAAAAAACAAAACAAAAAAAAAAACAAAAAAAAATTAATTTTAAAAAATGCCTTAGAGGCTGATTTTGTGGAGGCATTTTCTCAGTTGAGGCTCCCCCTCTCCAATGACTCTAGCTTCTGTCAAGTTAACACAGAACTAGCCAGCACTCCGAGGCTTCCCAGTGACAGTGGGGAGACATCAATAACAGTCTTGATGTCTTATTGAGAGGACAAAACAGACCAAGTGGTAAACGTAAAATAAAATCACTGAAGATGGTTAGGAAAAAAAAGAAATTGTCACCTGCTACCAGGGTGAGATAGCATTCTAGTAATAACGGAGTTGAAAAAATAAAATAGGTTTCTTTTTTAAAAGATTTATACATTCCCCTCTCTCTCTCTCTCTCTCTCTCTCTCTCTCTCTCTCTCTCTGTGTGTGTGTGTGTGTGTGTGTGTGTGTGTGTGTGTGTGTGTGTGTGTGCCAGGGTGGTGGTGGTAGTGGTGGTGGTGGTGTGCTTCTGCACTCATATGGAGGCCGAGTATCTGATAGCTGAATTTGCAGAAGTCAGGCCTAGACAGGCCCAGTGTGTGTTTTCTTACACTTGGCTGAAATACAAACTGAGGAATGCAAAGTCATTCTGGGAGATGAGTTCATCTTTCTGGAAATTGATATTGTTCTCATCTTTCCCTCAGAGAGAGGAGAAAGGAAACATTTGTGGAGATCATTACAAGCAAACTGTACATGTCAGAGTTGAAACTGGAAAGAATTTGAGTGTCTGTCACCGGACACTGCTCAGATGATGTATGGTTGGACCACACTATGCTACTGCGTTCATTCTGCCGTTAAGAAGCCAGGGAGGGGTGAAATGGTTCAGTGGGTAAAGGCACTTGCTTCCCAAGCCTGATGCCTCAAGTTTGAACCCCAGGACACACATGAAGGAAGGCGAGAAACCCCTTTTGCAAGCTGTTCTCTTACCAACACTCATACACGTGGTGTGGCATGCATGTGCCCCCACACACACAGATGCATTAGATACATGTAAGCAAACAAAACAACAACAATAAGAAACCCAGTGAGGTGACACTTGTGTTACGATACAAAAAGCACTCCAAAACGTATAAGTAGAGAAAACAGGTTCTGTGGCATAGGGGGGCCTGTTTAACAAGCACGATGTACACACGTGGACGCAGAGGAGAAGAGGGTTATGAATTGACTACTTATCCTCCAGAAACACAGATGAAGTCAAACAGCTCTGCAGGAGGGCCTCCCTGATCCCACACCCTCTTCCCGGCTCTTTGATTCTGAGTGTGAGCTGAAGGTGCGCTGTTATTGGGAAGCTGATATCAGTCCATGCTTACACACACAGCCTCAGCTATTTGTAGCTACCAAAGGGACAGGATTACTGGCTCACAGACCCTCCTGGTAGGAGAGGCATGGCAGCAGGCATCTCCACAGCAGTGGCAGCTCCTTGTTGACATCTCAGTGGGCTGAAAATCAGAGCAGACAGGAGAGATGGCAGAGCATGGACCGCAAGGCCTTCTCTAGAATATCCAGCACACACAGAAGACTGAAAGCTAGGTGAGAGACAGGCAAGGCGATGGCTGGTAGAGCACTGGGTGCCAACGCTCCCTTCTCCACCCCCGGTTCACAATCCCATTCCAACTGCCTTCTGCAGAATGGAAGCGTTAGGATAACCACAGCAGTTGCCCAACTGAGTCCTGAGTTCTTACATTCCATCCAACTAATCTTCAAAACGTGAGCCAGGATTTGGAAGATAAGAGCATCCCTGAGCAGCTCCTTCCAGAGGGCCTGTGTCTGTAATTGTCCCCACTGTATGGTCAGTTAGGACCAGTGAGCAGCCCCAGCCCCAGGTGTCTGCAAAAGCTACCAAAGCCACCTCGATCATGGCACCCTCTACAGCCTTCAGGAATCGATAAGCACAAGACTAAGCACATAACAGGTGAGACAGGCACAAGGACAGGCTATGTGACAGGATTCCAGACAACAGAGAGAGGGGTAGGGCTAGGAGAGGGTCACTCAGCCATGCTTGGAGCTGCCCAGTCCTGCCCCACACTCCCGGGACTGTCCTCTCTGACAGTGTGGTGGGCAAACTGCCTGCTTCATTTAAAGGGCTCCATTTAAGGGTGATAAACACTGTGACCAAAAGCAACTTGGGAATCAAAGAGGCTATTTCAGGCCACAGCTCTGATGCCCCCTCCATCACTGAGAGAAGTCAGAGCAGGAAATCAGTGCAGAAATTCATGCAGAAGCCATGGAGAAGTGCTGCTTACTGGCTTGTTCCCATGGCTTTCTCAGCCTGCTTTCTTATATATGCCAGGACCACACACCCAGTAGTAGTACTGGCCAGGGACCTGGGCCCTCCCACATCAATTATCAATCTGGTGGGGGCATTTTCTCAGCTGAGGTTCCCTCTTCCCAATGACTCTAGCTTGTGCCAAGTTTCATAAAACTCGCCAGCACACTGGGGTTATTACAATGATTACAATTTTCATTCTCATTCCTTTTTTGGGAGGGAGGGGGTGTTTTGCCCCTGATGGCACACAGTTAAACTACACAAAATCAATCACTGATTGTGAACACTAATCTCCTAGGACTTCATTTGAGTTCACACACACATACACACACACCTGTCTTCCCCTTAAAACTCTTGAGCCCTTCAGAAGACAAGGGCGTCTGCCTGAGTATTCACCTAAAGAGTCAGCCAGCCTGGTGCTCAAGAGTTCCTGCTGCCTTATCCTGACATCACACCGGCAGCAGGTGTCACCTGGTAGCAGACTAGTGTCCAGCTGAATGGTTAATTCCCACGAGTAGAGGGAGGACCATGCCTCGAAATCCCTTCCTGTCCCCCACAGTGCACAGCAGAGCCTTGCTGGCTGGACCCACCCCCAGGCCCCCCAGGATGCCTCTCACACACTGCATCCACCTGCCTGCATAGCAGACCCCAGCGCAGGGGCCTCCGGAGTCCTTCTAGCAGGGCATCCGCTCCTCCCCGTTGGCCTCTGCCCACGCCAGGTGTCCAAGACCCGCTTCTTCAGCACAGGGACATTTATTCGCGGGGTTTTGATGCCTGGCACTTGGTTCAGCCCACGCTGGAAGGCAGAGACTATCATCAGCCCCCAAGCGACTCTGTGGTTTTCCTTTTAGCAGGATCATCCCGCCTAAGAACCAGGAAAACCGAAAGCTTACTTTACACCATCGCTCCAGCAACTTTCTGCCGCACTGACCAATTCTGCCACATGTCACAGAACCACACTCGCCATGCGCTTTCCTAACCAAGCCCGGCCTCAACTAGCACCTCTGCTCACTCAGGTGTGCAGGCCGCCTTTGTGAAAGGCCACTCTCTTCTCTCCACAGCCTGTTAAAATCTAGGTACCCAGGTGCTTCCTACTGCTCCCTCATCTCTCAGAAGGACCCCGCCTCTTCCTTCCTCCATTCATCCCCCACCCATGCACGAGACCTCAACTTTGCCCCAGCTCAGGGCATTCACGGGCCCAGATCCCCCTACATCCAGAACCCAGGTGCCTCACTCTTACTTACTGAGTGCTGCTGTCCCCTCCTACATCCAGAACCCAGGTGCCTCACTCTTACTTATTGAGTGCTGCTGTGACCACTCTGTCAATCAACAGCCTCCCAATCCCAGGTGAGTGAGCATTTGTCTCTCTGTAGTAATCTGACCCAGGCCCATATACCCTCAGCTCCTAGAGCCCCCCACGAAGTCCCCTGCTCTTGGCTGACACAGCCCCCGAGCTTCCCTTCTGAGAGAATGTAACTGTCATCTCAACATCCTGGCAACTGTCTCATCTGGGCTTATCCACACTCCACCCACCCTGACACAGATACTCTGCAAGGTCCTGCCCCACCTGCAAGTACCATTGCCCCTACACTAACCTACAGTTCACACGCTCACTCAGGTTATCAAAGTCAGGATAGTTGGTAAATAAGACCACTCACTCTGCCTCGTGATCCCGCCCCAAACACTAGACTTCGGATCTCACATAACCATTAAGATGAAATGAGCGTTTTTATGAAAGGGACTAGGTCATCTCTTCATCTTTCATTCCTAGCAAGGCCTAGGTGGAGGGCCTCTTCTACCTCCAGGGGCAGTTAGTCCCCATTGCACACAGACAGCCCTAAGACAGAACTCAAGTATCACTGAGAAGCAAGACAGTGAAACAGCACCCTGTACAGGGAACGCTTGTCTTTACATCCTCCCTGGAGCCGCTCAGGAACTTCTTTGGTGTGAAATTGTAGGTGACTGCACAATTATTCTTGGCTCGTCTAGAGGCAACAGGCTGAACGTGAACTCCAAGCCACAATCATGGGGCGCAGGAGACAAAGGAACTGGAGGGAGGATGCTAGGAGGGCCAACAGAGGTACCCAGATTGACTCAAAATCCCGTATGACCAGGGTGGCTACATTAGAAGGGGCGTGCGGAAATGCCGGCTGTGCGCAATGAGGTCTCCTCTTAGCAGGCCCTGCCAACCCCAGACAATGCCAGCCTAGCCCAGGCTGTCCCTGCGCCCCCGGCCTCACCGATGGAGATCTCCTGAGCGAAGGCCAGCGAGATGAGCAGCAGAGGCAGACCCACGGCGATGCAAGTGACCATCTTGTCCACCGCTAGCTCCAGCCGCAGCCCCTTGAATTTGGGCTCGGTGGGCTCCTTCAGCAAGAAGTCCGAGAACACATACTCCGTGGCCAGGTGGGCGATGGCCATGGTCACGGCGCGCCGCGGGACTGGCAGCCGAGGGCAGACGCGGGTGCTGCGGGCAGCCGGGGCGAGGCGCCAAGTCCTCGCGGTCAGCGACCGGGCGCGCGGCTTCCGCTTTCCCTTCCCGGGCTCCCGGGCGGGCCCAGCATCGCACCGCCTTGGCAGGCGCTGCTGAGACCGCCTTGTAGGGACCGCACGGGCGCCTCAGCTGCCTGGGACCGCCCCGGGCTGCACAGGGCGCACGAGCTCCCGAGCTGCGGCTGCGGCGATCGCACCCCGTGCTCAGCCCTCGCGGGTCCCCGGCGCGCGCGCCACCAGGACTTCGGCCTCTCTGCGCGCGCAGGGGCAACAACGAGCCAGGAACAAAGCACTTCGCCCCAGCGGCCACAGCAGCCCGTGGCTGCACTGCACACTCGGCTCAGGGAACCGAGCTCTTCCGGAACCTGCGCCGGGAAACCGGGTTCCCAGGCGAGCAGTTTCCGGAAGCGCGCTTACGCGGGCCGGGTGGGCGCGGCTGCACCGCGACCCTGGAGTCCGGACCGGTGAAGGATCGCCCCACCCTGTTGCCCTCAGGACTGTCGCGCCCCTCCCATCCCTGCGCTCCTAACTCTTAACATACAGGATTAAAAATTTTTTTTTCAGTCATTTCTGCTGGCAGTCCCTTCCCCTGAGCACGAGCTAGCCCCTTTCTAAGCCTCGCCCACCATTGTGTGGGCGTGTGATGCTGAAGATGAACCCAAGTCTTGTGCACCGCTGCCGCCTAGACAAATGCTCTACCAGAGTGCCATTCCCCAAGATACAATCCGGGTTCTGTAAGAGCTTCGAGGAACAGCCTGTGCCATAAAAAGTTGGTGTTGACCGAAAGCATGTGAGAGGGGGCCCTGGACCTTTCCAGAGTTCTGTAAGGGTGAGAGACCGAGAATGGGGTGAGCAGTGTGTGACTGGTCTCAAGCCCAGCCCTCTGCTCTTTCCTCTACCCTTCTGTCAAAGCAGTGGTCAAGGCCGCAAAGGTGTACCGACAGGTGGATGTGTGGTTGACGAGCTACAGAGAGTTGCTTCTGAACACCTCACGGGAAGTAGATAATGAGACAGTCAAGAATGTTCCAACCGTTTGCTGCCTTGGAAGGTGAAGGGCCAGGCACGGACACCTTCCCTGGGCTGTGTACATCCGCAGGGTCTAAGGGGGTAAATCCAAGGCCTTCGAGTACCTCTCCACCGGACTAGTCCTAAAGCCCTCAGAAGACCTCCACAGCCCTGCACTGGTGAAGCTCACAGATGAGCAATCCTTACCTCAACCTCAGCAGTCTTCAGCGTTTCCCTAACCATTGCTGTTGGTGCTTGCCCCAAGATAGAAGCCTGGAGCTACAATTTTAGCGTTCCCATCACTCTTGATAGCTGCCCCAACTAAGCCTGACTTGTTGGGCTTCTCTTTAGCACAGCTCCCCATCTGCACACCCAGCAACCAGCACCCCAGTTTACCCCACCAACGTCTAACTGCCCACAGGAAGATATCCTCCAGACCCTCCAAGCCATTCTCCAAATGGTTGTGAAGTGTTAGGAATAAAAGTGGCATGCTTTTATTAATTTCATTCAAGTAGTCAAAAAATGAATCTCTGTCACTAGAATGTTTTTGCGGCCCGGTTTCCACTCCTCTGTCTAGTCCCCTCATGGCATGTGGGGACAGCGATGGGCCAGGTTGGTGGGGCCTGGGAGGATGAGTCTGTCTGGGGCAGGCCGAGCTGCAATGACTGTTTTCAAGGAACCAGTAAGTCATAAAGGCAGTTGTCCTCTTCCTGCAGGATCAACTCATCCAAGAGGGGAAATGGCCCCTCCCCCTAGTTGGAACGAGCCAGTCATTCTCTTGGTACTTGCCTCCTAACTCTCTGGCATCCCGCTCACTCTGGGCGGGTGATGGTGGTGGCTTGGATATCTGCTCTGAAATCACATATGAACTTCTGAGGTTTGAGGTGGAGTCCCGGCTGTTTTATAAACTGCCTTCTTTCCTGTGCATTGGTTAAGGCATCAATCAAAGACTGGTGAACTTAAAACCAGGAAGAAGAGACACTGACACTGCTGTGGGGTCAAAGGTGAAAAGACCAGCACATAGTCTGAACTTAGTCGATAGACTGGAGGTAGTGTTTAGAGGGAAATAATACAGACAGTTCTACTTTAAAACGCTCACGCTCCTGCACTGTGCTGAGGATTGGAATGGGAGTAGATGTGAAGAGGCTTTCAATGTGTACACAAGAAGTAAAGAAAGCCTTCAACCGATGGTAGAAATGAGTGGTACACAGGGCATAATAGTTGAGGGAACCATTTTTCTTACTCCAAAAACTCAGGTGAAAAAATTCCTGGCCTGGGCCAGCGTTCTTGGGAAGAAACCAGAAGGTAAAAACAATAAGCCCAGTGCTTGGTTCATCTCTTACTTGCTGTGTGACCAGGGATGTTTCACTAGAGATCTGTAAGCCTGAACTTCTCACCCAAATAAGGATGGTCCCATAGGTTCCCTCCAAGATTGTCCTTAGAATCAAATGGGATCTAGAGGAGTGTAGGAACACAAACTTGCAATCCTAGCACTTGAGAGGGGAAGGCAGAAGGACCAGAGTTCAAGGTCATCCGTGTCCACACAGTGAATTCTGGGCTGTAGTAGAATGTTATTTTAAGGTGTGTTATTTTTGTTTAAGTTGCATTTGTTTAACTCTGTGAAGTTGTGTTACTTTGCCTGTCTAACACACCTGATGGTCTAATAAAGAGCTGAATGGCCAATAGCAAGGCAGGAGAAAGGATAGGTGGGGCTGGCAGGCAAAGAGTATAAAAAGAAGGAGAAATCCGGGAAGAGAGAATTGAAAAGAAGGAGTGAGATGAGGAGGACTCTAGAGGCCAGCCACCCAGCTACACAGCAAGACACAGAGTAAGAGGAAGATTCACACAAGCAAGAGAACAGGAAAAGCCCAGAGGCAAAAGGTAGATGGGATAATTTAAAGTTAGGGAAAGCTGGCTAGGAACAAGCCAAGCTAAGGCTAGGCATTTCTAATTAAGGATAAACCTCCATGTGTGATTTATTTGGCGCCAGTAATGAACCACTATGGAAATATTTGTGTGTGTGTGTGTGTGTGTGTGTGTGTGTGTGTGTGTGTGTGTGAAAGAAAGAGAGAGAGAGAAAGACAGAGATACACACAGAGAGATTCTCATGTCCTTTGTTTTGTGATGGCACGGGCTTACAGATCTCACCCGCTGAGTGGCGGGTCCCCCCAAAAAGTAAAACAAGCAACAACACTGGGCAGCCTGGACTACCTGAGACCATCCAAAAGAGGGGATGCCATTTTTTAATAACCTCTCCTGAATTGTACGCCCTTAGCATTAACAATCTCAGGACTTTGAACAAGTCAAGTGAAAGCCTAGGCAGGGTTGTTTTTTTTTCTTCTCTTCCAAGTAGACTTTAGGTTTTGAAGTGTGTCTGTGTGTGGAAAGCAGAGGTCTAGTCAGGGATGTTCTTCTCTCATTCCCCACCCTATTTTTTTTTCAAAGACAAGTTCTCCCACTGAAGCTGAAGCACATTGGGTTAGCAAGACCAGCTGACCAAGAAGCACCAGGTCCTCCTGTCCCTGCCTCCCCGGCACTGCAGTTATAGGCATGTGCCACCATGCCTGGTTCCTTTTGTTGCTGCTGGGGATGTGACCACAGGTCTTCATATTTGTGGGGCAATCACTCTGCCAATTGAGCCATCTCCCCAAGTCCAGATTTCAATTTGGTTTTATTTTATTTTCATAAAAAGCGGTCAAAGGACTCAGAGTTCTTATACACCCTCACTCCTGTACTCAAATTCTCCTAGTATTCCATCTTGCAATAGAATTATGCGTTGGCACTAGTAATGAACCACTATGGAAATGTGTGTGTGTGTGTGTGTGTGTGTGTGTGTGTGAAAGAGACAGAGACACACAGAGAGATTCTCATGTCCTTTGTTTTGTGATGGCACTGCCTTCTGATAATGATAAGGAGCACTTGGAGAATAAATGACATCAAGTCTGCCCTGCCCCTATCCCTTCCTGGCAGCAGAGTGACCCAGGGTGGGTGTGGCCTTACCGCCAGCCTCGCAAACTCTGGCGTGCTTGCTTGACATCCTCGGCATTTGATTACAAGATCTTTAGCAATGAAAACCGTCTAAGCCAAAGTAGTCGAGCTCACCGGGCTGCCTGAGCTGTGTACATCGTCACGCACTCCTTGGAGAAATATTTGCTGAGCAGCTGCTGTGCAGTGAATGACTGTTTGCTCTGCAGGTGCAGCAGCAAGCAGACCAGATCAATAGTTCTCACTTCCAGGGAGCTTCCACGCCCACCAAAGACAACAGAGAAAACTGAAGCTAACAGATGAAATGATTACGTACCATGAGGATGCCACAAAGAAGAACATCAGAGATGGGACATAACAGAGATAGGGACCACAGTGGAGAAGGCAGTCTGGGGAACTCGTGTCTGAAGTAAAAACCTAAGAGAGAGGAATGGGATCCTGGAGAGAGCCAAGAGAATAAAAGTCACAGAAAGGAGCATGTGCAAAGGCTCTGAGGCAAGAACTCCCAGGAGCAGCAACTGATAAAAAGCAGGATCAGGAGAGAACCCAAGAAGCTAGAGAGGTGGGCATGGGCCCCACCAGGCTGGGCCTCACAGACCTGGGTAAAGAGTCTGGAGCCATTAAAAGTGTAATGGAAAGATGTCGGAGTGCTCACCAGGAAGTGAGCTGACCAGATTTGGAAGAGCATACAACAGACAGCTCTGTGGACAGTGAGTGGAAGGCACGAGAATGGCATTGTTCAGGGAGCTGTTGCAACAACCCTACCAAACAGGACCCACGGACCTGCAATCAAAACCAGGGTTGGAGAAAAGGTTTTGAATTTATTAGCATATGATGAACTTCAGACCCATGGGGTAGATGAATGATGCACAGTGAGGACAGCAGGCGGACACAGCAAACTCAGTGATCTTGTTTCTTCTAGCACCCTGGAACTCTCAAGTTGGAACCAAATGTCAAGGTGTTAAGGTCAGACGTCTCAGGAGAGCCTTCAGGAGGATGCATCTGGACCCTTTACAGTTTCTCCACCTATGTGCTTGCATCCCTTCGCCCTTCATCCCTCCCGAAGCCAGGAGTGCAGTGGCTTGCGTAGTCATGCACATCCACCTTCTGCTTTATTATCTTATATTTAACTTTATTTTATCGTTTTAGTTATTTATTTTTGAGCCAGGTTCTCTCTGTGTAGTCCTGACTGTTCTGGAACTCACTATATAGACCATGGTGGCCTCAAATTCAGAGATTCCCTTACCTCTGACTCCAAGTGCTAGGTTTAAAGGTGTGAGCCACCACACCCTGATTGATGGTTTTATTTTATTGTAGGGCTGGGGGTTGAACACAGGGCCTTGTACATTCTAGGCAAGAGCTCTTCCACTGAGCCACAGACCCACTGACTGCTTTTCTTTTATAAGGATACTTGTGGTTACATTTAAGGATAATCCAAGATAAACTCTCCATCATCAACAAGATCCTTAGCTTATCACACACCTACAGAACCCTTTCCAAGATCCCATTCAGAGCTTTGGGGATGAGGGTATGGAATCTTAAGGAGCATTGCTGACTGTGAGGGCCAGTGTGAAGGCTCAGTGAAGAAAGGTACTGGGTTGCAAGCCTGAACACCTGAGTCCAGCCCCTGGAACCCATGGTGGAAGGAGAGAACTGATTCTCAAGAGTTTTCCTCTGACATCCACATGCATGCCATGATACATCCACACACCTACGCCTACACACACACACACACACACTAATAAGGATAGTAAACTTGTAATTTTTCAAAGATGTAGGATCACAAAGGGCCCAGTGTCAAGTTCTGGGGGATGCCAGCATTCAGAGGTCAGGGGAGGAGCTAGCCAAAGAATGAGAGGAAATGAAGATGGAAGGCTGGGGAGCCATGTTGCAGAGACTGAGGACTAGAAAGTTGTCCGGAAGGCAGGAACTGTTCCTCGTGCCTGAGAATAAGTAAGATACAAGTGGAGAAGCCTCTGGAAAAGGTATTGTGGATATCCTCTTGATGACACCTGGTTGGGGTGCAAGGCTGGGCTTCCTGACTGGTTGGATGATTTTAGTTCATTGATGTAGCCTAAAGAGTGCTTGGGGTAAGAGACAGGAGGCCACTGATGTAGCCTAAAGAGTGTTTGGGGTAACAGTACAGGAGGCCACTGATGTAGCCTAAAGAGTGCCTGGGGTAATATACAGGAGGCCATTGATGTTGCCTAAGGAGTACTTGGGGTAACAGTACAGGAGGCCACTGATGTTGCCTAAGGAGTACTTGGGGTAACAGTACAGGAGGCCATTGATGTTGCCTAAGGAGTACTTGGGGTAACAGTACAGGAGGCCACTGATGTTGCCTAAGGAGTACTTGGGGTAACAGTACAGGAGGCCATTGATATTGCCTAAGGAGTGCTTGGGGTAACAGTACAGGAGGCAGGTGTGAGCAGTTCTTTATAGTCTGCACTAAAGAGGGACACTGAGTTATAAGTTAAGGAAGATTGCTCCTTGCTCTCCATTTTTAATGGTGGACATGGCTGGCAAATTACCTCATAGAACAATGTAGAAGGAAAAAACTGATGGTAGAGGGAATGGAGGTCTTTGAGAAAGCAAAAGGGGGTGAGGTCCAGGGCCAAGTAGAGAGAGCCTGGCCCTGCCAGGAGCAAGGACACCTCCTCCATGGTGAGAGAAGGAAATGGTGATTATCTCAGAAGAGAGTCACATTTTAGTATTTGTGGTGATATATGATTTTGTTCCCTTTAATAGGTACAACTGATGTAGTTATAGAGGATCAATATCTAAGACTGTTCTTTCCTTTTTCAATAATATATTTATTTTTATTTTATGTGCATTGGGATTTTGCCTGCATGTGTGTCTGTGTGAGGGTGTCAGATCTTGGAGTCACAGACAGTTGTGAGCTGCCATGTGGGTGCTGGGAATTGAACCTGGGTCCTCTGGAAGAGCAGCCAGTACTCTGAACCCCTGAGCCATCTCTCCAGCTCCAATAGTCTGTTCTAACCACTTTTTATGACAGGTAATCCTGAGTGAAAACAAAGAAAGCAAATGTGCCATTTTAGAATATATGAAACTTTATTAAAAAGAGAAATGGTGCGATAAAACTACTTTGTGGTTTGTTTTCATTAAAAAAAAATAAGTGAAAAAGGAGAAGAGAACTTTTAAAACAAACAAGGTTTTAACTTACTAAAGGTAAGTCATAGGTGCTCACCATACTTCTCATGTAATCGTACAGCCTACCACATATGAACTCCACAGAGCAGGCACTTCAGTAAGCTACAAAAATCACATTGTCAGTGGTTAGCGGACTGGAATTCAAAATCATGTGGTACCCTGTTTGACAAGGCGCTTAAGCAAACTACAAACAGAGCGGTTAGCAGTTGCTTCTGTTTTATGTTAAGACTGTGGTTTCTATCCATTTCCCCTCACCAAGAAGATTAAAGAAAATAAAAGTATGAGAGATCCCTTCACCAGAGTATTTATTAGGTCCTACCCGTTCACCTGGACATTCAAGGGACCCACTGCTGAGGCAGTGGTCTAACATCATGTGTCTGGCCACAGCATCCCAGGGCAGCTTGTCCTGAGCTAAGGTAGATTTCCCAGTCTAGTAATAAACAATGTTGCTTTTATCAATCTTCATCTAATGTCTAGGGTACCTACAGAGAGGATGCATTGTGTCCTTAGGTGCTTAGCTTTGTTGTTCAGTCTTCCGTGTTTGCCTGTGAGCCTTGGCAGCTAGAATCCTTATTTCCAAAGCTGATTGAATGGTTTAAAAACCACCAGGACTCCCCTATTCTAGCTGCCCTCCCTCCTCTCAAGACTATGTCTTTAACAAGCATGGAATGCAGGATTTTAAGAGATCCTTTCTCCCCTCGGCCAATCAGTTGCATTGATGTGTGCCTCCTGCCATCCTCCACATGATGAAATTGTAACTTTCATAGAACATGGAGATATGGAAAAATGCCCCCTAAATGAATGAAAAGTCAAACTCAGGGTTCAAGCCCAGACAGGGAGTCTCTGGCTTACAGTGAGGAAGCCAAGCCTGCTCCTTCACTGCTTCTAGCCTCCGACTTCCTGAAACAAAAATCCTCTAGTTGATTTTTGAAAATACAGACGTTGCCAAGGAGGCACATGGTGAAAATGTAGCATGAAGTGAACTGTAAACATTCAAGTATTCCTACAGGTTGAATTGAAAATAGCAGCAATGAAATAAATAACCATATAACTTTAGCTTGTATAACGAACAATGCACAGGGTCTCTGCATCCAAGGGGGAGAGGCCAGGAGAGCTACCGGAAGCCCCTGAAAGATTCATGTGGTCCATTCCATCAGTTCATACTGACTGGGACAGTCCCACGAACTCCTCAGAAACTTGTTCACCCTGAACAACTGAGGGGTCAATCTCACATGTGAGTGTGATTCCAGACAGACAGTTGTCCCAGGAACCCTGTTATTTTCTAGAAGCCACTCATCTAGAAACCATGGTGGTTAGCTGAGGAAGCACTGTTTGATTTCAAACTATAAAAACATCTTTCAGAAGGTACCCCCTGAGTGAATTGTTCACCAAACAGACTGGTGGTTGGTAGATCCCAATTCAGTGCATTCTCCTTTTTCATGTACTTTATACCTGAGAATCATTCACAGCCAGTTAAAAAATTAAATAAATAAAAGCACATTGCTTTGGATGACATTCCAGAGGCTCAGAAGCCTGATCTAGGATACAGTGTCAAAGTTCCTTGGTGAACAATGCATTGGTCCAGTTTCCCTGTTAGCCACTGGGACCTGACCCCTCCCTCTGAGGAAGACCAGAGCATTCACAGAGCATCTGTGGGGAGTGCACAGGACTGCACTTCCCTGTAAGCCATCTGCCTCCTCGAAGAGCAGAGTCGGAGGGAGAGAATCACAGTGGCGACCAGAAGGAGGAGTCCCAGGATGAAGAGGATGACCAGGGCTGCCTTGGCTCCTCTTGGGCGCAAGTTCTTGCCAAAGAAATAGAGGTCTTCCTTGCCAGGTTGTTCTGTGAGAAAGAAAAGTGGAGCATCAGGTACTTGCCTCCCTTATGTAGTGAAACATGGGGGTACTCACACAGGGTTGGGAGAGGATGTCATTACCTTTGGAGGGCACTGTGACAGCATGCGACCCTGCTCCAGAAGGGGACTTGGTGGAATATGGAATCCTGTTGTCTGGACAAATATACATATATATATATATATATATATATATATATATATATAATATTTTATTATATAATATAATATAATATACTGTTTATTATTTATTATATAACATCATATAATATATATTTATATATATGAGTTGACCAATTAGAAATGGAGACCCTTTTCATGGCACATGAAAGTTGCGTCTTTTTACCCCCACCCCAATTCTGCCATCCTTCTTGAATTCCTACCGGGCTATTTCACACCAGTATCAAGTACCACTCCCTCCACCTCCCGGGTGTCTGCTCATCCATTGAGATCCCTCTTTAGATCATGGCATCTTATACCTTGGTGCACACCCCAGACTATCAAACATGCCCTCCTCCCACTGCCTCTGGACCCTGTTCTCTACTCTGTTTCTGCACGTCTTTCTCCCTTGTGATTACATATTCACTTTTTTGTCTCTCTTACTTGACTTTGAGCCCCTTGGGGTCTGTACCTGTGTTTTTCTCATGCCTCCTGTTTTCCAGGTCTATGGGAAGATTGATGCCATGAGCTGGCATCACTGACAGACAGTACCTATGTTCCGGAGGACAGTGTAGGTGGTCTCCATGCCGGCATGAATGTGGTCAGAGACGTGGCAATGCAGCAGCCACGTCCCTGGGTGATCAGCAAACAGCTCAATGGTTTGAAAGGTCCCGGGAAAGAGATCGTACACATCTTCTCGGTAGGACTTATCTATCTGCAAAAGTCAAAAGACGTAGGCCATGGCTTCTTTTCCTCAGCATGAGGAGAAAAAGAAGAGTGAAGAGACACAGTAAGCAGAAGGAAGGAATGAAAAAATGGCAGACATCAACGAAAGCAAGAGCAGGACACAACAGAGGTGAAGGAAGGTAGAGCTGGGTTTTGTTCTCTTAACAGATCGATTGAATAAACTTGCAGTGATGAACATCCACAGTGGCCTTAACACCCCTCCTATCCTGATACTCATATAACCTTCACAGCTCCCTCTTGAGTCGCAGGAGGTTAGCGTGTGTGTGGTATGTGGTACAAAAGACATATTGATGAGTTAGTTCTTCTGTAGCTCTCCTTTCTCTTAGATTAGTCAGTCTGGCTGAAGCCAGCTCCCTCATCATACCCATGTGATGGGAAATTAAGCCTTCAGTCAACAGACACACAGGTGAGCTTGCAGATGGATTCCGTGGTTCCAGTCAAACCATTAACAACTAAAGCCCAGATGTCTTTATTGGGCCTCATGAGAGACACAAAATACAAGTCAGCTAGCCCGACTCCTCCAGACTCTTGACCCAGAGAGACCAAGATAGTAAGTGTTTATTGTTTTGAGCCACTGAGCTTTAGAGTGATTTGTTATACAGCAATAAAACATTACTGCAAATCTCCAGACATTGACCAAGGGGAGGGGAAGAAGAGGAAGGGCAGGAAGGAGGGAGAAGACAGAACCACAGCTATGGGGAAGGAAAAGGAACACCACTAAGATCTTACTATGAAAAACAAGAACTGCAAACAAACAGCTCTGTGTTCACAGATTACAACGTATAGGTTGTCAACAATTTTAAAGGACACAGCTATGAGTGACCATTCAAGAAAAAATAGGTGGGGACTGGAGAGATGGTAAGTGACTAAGACCATTTGCAGAAAGAAGATCTGGGTTCAAGTTCTAGCACATATATGGCTGTTCACAATCATCTGCAACTCTAGTTCCAGGGATCCAGTGCCTTCTTTGACCTCTGTGGCCACCAGGCATACCCATGGTGTACAGACATACTTGCAGGCAAAAACTCATACACATTTTTTTCTTTTTGAGACACTGTCTCTTTATGTAGTCCTAGATGCCCTACAACTCACTACATAGACCAAAATGGCCTTAAACTCACAGAGATCCTCCTGCCTTTAATCCCAAGGTGTGCACCACCACCCCCAGCCCATAAAATAGATTTTTGAAAAAGAAAAAGAGGTAAGTGGCCTGAGTAGTATTGATTGTAAAAAATAAATACAAATCATATTAACACCTTCCAATAAGTCCAAATGGCTTTGCTGACAAGTTCAATCACAAAGTTGAAGAGTACCAGCAATCCTAAACAGACTCTTCCAGAAGCTGGAGGCAAAAAGAACACTTTCAAACTCCCTTTATGAACTGATATTACTCTGATTTGAGAAAGTGTTTACTAGTGGACGGTTAAGAAGCTGATCTCAGAGGCTGAGTGTGGTGTGGTGGTGATCAGAGGCTGGAAGAGTATGAGGAAGGCAGGAACAGAGAGGGTTGATAGGGAGGTACAGTCAGAAGTAAGAAGTGCTGGTGTTGTCTTGTTCAACAGGCTGTCTACAGACAATAACCAGGTACTGCATAGTAAAAAAGCTGGATGAGAGGATCTTGAATGTTTTGCCAAAAACAAGTGCTGTTTGAGGAGACAGATGGTCCCACTCTGATTTGCATGTTAGTCAATGTGTATATGAATGAGAATACCACACTGTACCCCAGAAACGTACATTATTTATGCTTTTATGTATCAGTTCAAATAAAGCAACTGATGACAATGTACTGTGCAAACTGGATAAGCAGGACACAAAGGAAAAAGACTGCCAAACTTTGCCAAGACAAGGCAGGACAGTCCTTCAATTTTCCTGCTTCACAGAAAAGTCTGTCAGATATTCTAGGTTTGTAGGCTGAAGATGGATGCCACAATGGTACAGAGGAAGCTTGGGTGACTGTCCAGGTGGCCAGCTGCTTCCATCATTTCTATAGTTTTGGAAGTTGTTTGTTCTGCACTTCCTGTTTAATCAGGTGATATTATATCCTTTTTGGGTCTCTGATGGAGTTGAAAATGAGATAGTTATAGTTATAGTTTTCCTTGTTACCAAATTCAGAAAAGAAACTTACCTAAGAGATATAAAGTTTATAAGGTTGAGAAACATAAAAGCTTAAATTGTTTATCTAAGAAAACATTTTGAGGTCTAAAAAGATAATTTTGGGTTAGTAATACAAGTTAGGATAGAAAGTAAATTAGGTACATGACTTTGGACTCACCAAGATAGGATAGATAATGGAGTATTTTCTCTGAATTTGCCAAATGCAAATGGACTGGATATTGTAAATGTAATTCTTACTTGATAACTGTTCTTATTGTATATAGTTTTAATGTGTTAAAGCTAAAAACCTTTATTTTTATTTAGACAAAGGGGGAAATGATGCAGAATATTTGTTTAACTGTGCAAAGATGTGTTGCATTTGTTTAATTATGTAAAGATGTGTTGTTGTATTACTGTGCCTGCCTAAGGCACCTGATTGGTCTAATAAAAAGCTAAATGGCCAATAGCGAGGGAGGAGGTATAGGTGGAACTTCTGGGCAGGAAGAGTAAGTAGGAGGAGGAATTTAGGCTTAAAGAAGAAAGAAAAGGAGATGACAAGGAGATGCCAGGGGCCAATCAGACATGGAGGAAGCAGCAAAGCAGGACATTCAGAATGAAAGAAAGGTAAAAAGCCCAAGGCAGAATGTAGATGAATAGAAACAGGTTAAATTAAGTTAAAAGAGCTAGTGGGACAAGTGTAAGCTAGGCCTGATATCCATAATTAATAGTAAGTCTCTTTGTCTTTATTTGGGAACTGGTTGGTGGCCGAAAGAGAATTCCAACTACACATTTACCGCATGGTTTAGCAACTCAGCACATTTTCTCTAGCAAATAAAAACTTGAACTCGTGCGAAAATGTGTGCATCTGTTTATAATGACGTTGACCCTCCTTGAAAACACTCTCACAGTTCTTACTGGGAAAAGTAATAAACTGCACTGTATCCATATGATGAACTATGACTCAGTCATCAAGTAAAACAAAGTTGCCACATATACGAGATGCATGAGACCAAACATCTATGCTGAACTAAACAGGCCAGACTTGAGATATTGCAAGTTGCATGGCTTCTGTACAATATTCAGAATACTGAAACTCTACATATATAATCTGTGAAATTTCTTATTTTAATTTATTTTTAGAATTTAACATCTGTCTGTCTGTCTGTCTGTCTGTCTCTCTCTCTCTCTGTCTGTCTGTCTGTCTCTCTGTCTCTCTGTCTCTCTGTCTGTGTGTATGCATAAGCATGCCATAGTGCATGTGTGGAGGTCAGAGGACAGCTCTAGGGAAGAATTGGTTCTCCTTACACTGTGGGTCCTGGGGGTCAAACTCAGATTATCAGCCTTGCAGGACAAGCACCTTTGCCTGATGAGCCATCTGAAAGGCCCAGGAACAGGGATTTCTTACTTGCAGTTTGGGAGGGTGGGAGTCCAGGATGAAGGGGCCTGACCTGGTAGGTGCTTTCATGCTGCACTGTTCCATGGCTAAAGGCACAAGGATACAATGTGGAGAGCAACAGGTCAAGTTCGCAGCCTCAGTAACATGACTGGCATCTCTCCATTCATGAGAACTCTACCCTGAAACTTGTCATCTTCCATCAGGCCCCAGCTGCCCCCATGATAGGAGTGGGGATCAAGTCTCCAACACGTGACTTTGGGGAAACACATCCAGGTTATAGCAGAGATAGAAACAGAATGGTGCTGTCAAATGTTCAGGCTTGGCTGAAGTGACCTACAGGGGTAGTGGGGGTGGAGTGGGGTGGGTGGTGATGGAGATTCTCTTCTTCAATTGCTGGTTAGACCACTGTGCTAACAAAAAAATAAGAATCTTACAACAAGTGGGATTTTATGCAACGTGAATTAAATCTTCATTTTAAACATATATAATGTGTAGATGAACTTTTATAATTTTATGATTTTTTTAACTTAATATTAGAAATGTATATTGAAAAAGGCACTTTCTGAAAACTAATCTGTGACACTCTAATCACTGATGGCTAACACCTGATGTGTTTTGAAACATGAATGTTTCAGTGGCTTATTGTTGGTTCTTGTACACTAGTGTGGGACTGGTCCTGCTTCCTTGTGCATCGGATTTGGCTCTGTTTCCACTTTCTTGTAGGAAGAACCAGCACCCAAGATGACAGAGTGTTTAGACTTTAGATTTGTCAGGTCTGGGGTGAGGTGTGTTCTTTAAATAGCTCCGAAGGTGATTCTACTGTGCAGCTGTCACTGCCCATACAGCAGAAGTTCACGTGTGGTGCAGCCCAGCTCTCGAGCAGAAGTCAAGATGAAGCCCAGCTCACATATCTCCTTTGCTAGATAGGGCTGCTTTGTTAACTGGTCGAGGAGAAAAGGAAACAGAGATAAGAAGGAAGGAAAAGAAAGAAGGAGGGAAGGGAAGGGGAGGGAGGAAGGGAAGGGGAGGGAGGAAGAGAAGGGAAGGGGAGGGGAGGGGAGGAAAGGGGAAGGAAGGAGAGGGGAAGGGAGGAGAGGGGAGGGGAGGGGAGGGGAGGGAAGGGGAGCAGAGGGAAGGATCAGGGAAAGCCCCCAAACACCATGGGAGTTCACATACAGTATTAACAGCATACTCCACGGTGGTCACAATTATGGCCAGACCACCGACGGAAAAACTCTCATCTGAAACTCAGAGAAGCTGGTGTGTTATGAGAAATGATATAGGCAGAAACATTGAGAAATACACAGCAGGGGAAGGGTGTGGCCACCCTGTTCTATTCTCTAATATGAGCCTGCCATAGGCCTTATAGCCAATTAACTCCCTTCCTGTCAGAATGGCCTTAACTGTCCTTCAGAGTTTCCCTTGAACACTTCCCGGACACTTACTTTGAACAGAAAGCTCTCTGCATGGTAATGGATGGTGTGGATGTCCACTTCGCTTCCTATTCCCAGCAGATACCAGTTAGTCATTGTGTCTTCCATCATTATGAGGCCGGGGAGGTTTCCAAATATCTTTCCATTAATGGCTAAGAAGATGAAAATAAAATAGCTTCAGGTCAGTGGAGGACAATCTGCTTACCCCAGTGGTAGAAATGGTTCAAGGTCTAGGCTACTAGTATTCTTATTTTTTTATTATTTATTTTTATTTTTTGTGCACTGGTATTTTTTTGCCTGCATCTATGTCTACGTTAGGGTATCAGAACTCCTGGAACTGGAGTTTACAGACAGTTGTGAGCTGCCATATGGGTGTTGGGAATTGAACCCGGCTCCTCTAGAACAGCCAGAGCTGTTAACTCCTGATTGATCTCTCCAGCTCACTACTAGTATTCTAATCTGCCTGAGAGACAGGAGCCAGCCTCACTCATGCTTGCCAATGGCCCCACCATTCTAGATCCAAAATTCAGATAACCAGGAAATCTTTGCATGTAGGGATCTGGGGAAAAAAAAAAAACTTCCCAGAGCTACATCTCAAATAACAGGTACTGTGGGATGTCATTCTGTATGCTGTGGATGTGTGTTGCTCTGATTGGTTGATAAATAAAAAGCTGATTGGCCAGTAGCCAAGCAGGAAGTATAGGCAAGAAGACAAGGAGAATTCTGGGAAGAGGACAGTTGAGTCAGGAGTCACAACCAGACACAGCAAAATGACAAGGCAGAAGTGAGAAAAGGTACCAGCCACGTGGCTAAACATAAATAAGAATTATGGGCTAATTTAAGTGTAAGAGCTAGTCAGTAATAAGCCTGAGCTAATGGCCAAGCAGTTATAATTAATATTAAATCTCTGTGTAATTATTTTATAAAAGGCTGCGGGGCTGTGGGTGAGAGATTTGTCCCTACCACAGCCAGGCGGGACACAGGAAATCTTCCAACTACAAACAAGGTGCTTATTCATTTATTCTACATGCCTCTTTAGGAAGTAGACTGCAAATGTACTGATGAGAAGTAAGATTTATTCCTTACTATACCTGAGTAGACTAAGCCACAAAGAATCTAGCACATGTATGTGCATGCAAAACATATGTATATGTAAAAGATAAATCATACACACACACACACACACACACACACACACACACACACACACACACACACAAAATGAATCCATTTGGATCTGTGTCCATTGTACTCTTAATGCTTCACTTTCTAAGAACCAGAATAAGCGCAACTGGGTCTCTAAAAAGAGAGCATCAGGCAGGCTAAACCATCCTCCTTGTGAGAAAAGCAGGCTGGATTCTACAGTGGTGACTCCACCTCCGCTTCCTACCAACCTTTAAGTCTGTGCACCATGGCACAACCAAGTAAGTTCCATTTGCTGAAAACTGACAACGTGCTGAGAAACTGCTGAGATGGATAAGAAAAAGCGTCTGAATGGGGGATACCACCACCACGTTCTAATCCTCATAAGCCTGGAGGTTTAAATGTAGATCTTGGTGAGTGTGCGTGTGTCTGTGCAAACACACCACTCAAACTTCCTTAAATGACACACAATTCAGTAACATACACACACTAAATAAAGTTCACGAGTGACATTTCATGTTCCAGAGAATTCATCCAAACCCTTAATTTTGACTGCACAGAAGCTGTCATGGATTCACATTAAAACTTATCAACAAGTGACAATTTGATCTTTAAAAAAATTACTTCTTCACAGCTTAACGGTCTCAGTGACAGCTTTCCCCAAACAACTGGCTCAGTGGTTAGGTTGGTTCACTCTGGAAAGGGCTCTCTTCCCCTGTCCCTGGAGGAGAGGAGGGTTCAGAGGAGGGGGCTGGGGTCTCAGCAGTGACCTGTCTCAACACCAGCCTCTCTTTAAAGGCCTGCATACCGTGCATTTTGTTGCTTTCTTCAAAATCATCTGTGCGCCTGAAATCCCGTGGATCTTTATTGAGATACTTCTTAATATTGTCATCCAGATACCATGATTCATTCTCGTTAAACACCAGGAACAACAAAGCAAATTCGTAGTCTACGTCACTTCTTCTTCCCTTTTCGTTCAATATCCCTTCTCGGCATGTGATGAGAGGCCCCATCAAACCACTGTACGTATCCTGGAGGAAAAAGTAACCAAGGTTAATGAGGGGTTAAATGTGACATCGTCCCACCTGCCGCCATTCTAGTGTAGACACTGCCTCCTCTCCCCTGGCCCATTCCATGTCAGTTGTAATTTGCATAACCCAAGTACTCAGTAGGTTTGAGATTCATACTTGGAATAACAAATAAGGTTCCCATGCTCCTCATATACAAATGTACTTTTCAAATTACCTGTGTGTGCTTATCTCCTGAACTCTAGGTCATTGATTCCTAATACGAAATGTGCCACTGAGAGAGAGGAAGGTGAAGATAACTCCTCACTTTAAAAATGATTACATTTTGCATAGGCTATGACTCTGGTTTGGGCTTTGGTTTATGTCACATGATTAAACACTACTGTAGTTTTACATACAAGGGTACATAACTCAAAGTTGGCATTGAATCTTTTTATTCCTCAGACTATTTATGATCCAAAGGTTCTGTAGTTTTAATTAAGCTTGGGGTGTGCTTCTGTCCCTGAGCCCTGGCCGTGTGAGATGGCTCAGCCAGGAAAGATTGGCCACCAAGCCTAATGACACAAGCTTTATCCCTGGGACCCACATGGCAGAAGGAGAGAACCTACTTCTCTGTTGTGCTCTAACCTTTACATATGAGTTGTGGTACGCAACATGTGTTTATGTACACAGACATAAATGTAATTAAAAGGAAAAGATTTCCCGCCTCCCAAAACCATAAACAAATTCTACTAGGTGACACTTGTTTCCTTTCAAACTGGCAAATTCTCATGTGATTCAAATTATCTTGAAGGTTCTGTAGCTGGAAATTAAATAGTGTTTCATTTTTATATTCCTATACCAGCAGTTATAAAATTTAAAATAGTTATAAAGCATTGTATACTAAACATTTTTTTTTTTTTTTTGCTTTGTGGGTCATACTGCCTCTGCTACACCGGTGGATGGTGTTGATGGATGGATGCAGCTGGATTTGTCCGGTGGGTGATCGTTTGAGACCCCTGTTCTAAGTCACACCACTTTTACATGTGCCCACAGAATGGGGATGGCTTCAATAGTCACCTTGCAAGCACCCCGGTTCCTCTCTCCACCTTACCTTGACAAAGTTTGCGGTTGAATAGTACACCCATGGGATACAATTAGGATCAGAGGGCCCGGGACCTGATCTCTTGGGGACGTTCCATCTGTAAGTTTTTATTTCTCCTGAAATTAAAGAGAAAATTGAAATTGGTTATTAGATTTACCTGAAGAACTCCAAGCAGATCTTTATATATTCTAGTTAGTGGAGATAATTTCTCATTTTCCAGACATGTTCTTACTAAACTCACACCTTGATGCCTATGGGTTCAAACTGTAGAGCACGTCTGTGTGATTTCGGGCTCCTGCCTTCCCTTAGCTTCCATGTTTCTATTGTCAACTAACATTCAGGACGTAAAGATGTATTTCACAGTCCACTGTTTATCCTGCTTGAATTTGGCACATTTTGTCCCCAAGGATCTCCATCTTTGTCTCTAATACCATGATGTCTCATTAACCCTGATTGCCAACTAGAGAGGATCTCCAATCACCTAGCAGACAGTCTGCAGGAATGCCTACAGCATCTAAGTCTGGTTAGACCTGTGCCATACAACCTAGATAACATGGGTTATCCAGATTAGGGTAACCTTTGAGCTTGTCCAGGAGGGAATATCGGTTAACTGAGGTGGGAAGTGTCACTTTGGGTGGCTCTATCTCATGGGCTGCATCCTGGACAGAATAAAAAGAAGGCAAGCTGAGAACCAGCATCCATTTCTCTCTGCTTCCTGACCACTGATGCAGACCCACCATCTCACGTTCCTGCTACCATGACTTCCCTGACATGATGAACCATGACCTGGAACTCCTCCTTCCTTAAGTTTCTTCCCCAGAGTATTTTTGTCAGGAGGAGGGCAGGGGGGAAGGCCTACCATATAACCTAGGCTGTCCTCAAACTCACAATCCTCTTGCCTCGGCTTCTGAACTGCTCAGCATGTATGGCCACATCTGGCTGGAACTTTTTAACTGATATTTGACAAACTACTTAACTTCACTGGTCTACAGTTTCCTTACCAGTAAACTGGGTTGGTCTTCATGCTTTGAGAATTTTTTTAATGATTAATTGAAATTATATAATTAAATACATGGAGGCAATGCTTCATACTACCAGTGGTCAATAAATGTTAACTTTCTGTTTGTGTTTTTGTTTCTGAAACAAAGTCTCCCGATGTAGCACCAAATGAAGACAAAATAACAGGAAACGGGGTCACAGAAGGGAATGAAGTCCCTCAGTTCCATGCTTCATACAAACAACAAAACCCACTGTGTAGGCTGCCTTGGCGGAGTCCATACTCTGTTTTCTGAGCGGTAACTCAAACAAGAGCGTTACCAGGTAAAGAGCCAGGCTTAAGGATGTCTTAAACCCTGTGACCTTTGAATATCCTTATCAGTACCCCTCATAAACTCGAACAGCACACCATAAACCATGTTTCGGTTTCACCTATATAACGAGAGGAAGTTCTTTACAGTAAGACAATTAAGTAAGTTTTATTTTAAACTGAATCTTTAAACTTTGCTCCATCTTTGAACCTGGCTGTAAATTACATCATTTGCACAACATGACATCAGAAGCTACAGAGTCATGCACACAGCTGTGGCTAAGACACTCGAGTGTGATTCTGCCCCTGAGAAGCCCATCCCAACCCCTTGGGTGTGCGGTCCTCTTCTTAACGAACTCCAATTTTGCTTCATGCTGATCATGAAATTCTTTTCTATGCAGAAGTCATGATCCCTGCTACACCCATGTGTAGGCTACTGGAAAGAACTCCTCCATGAGCCCCATAGGCAACGGCGTCACATAGAGGGTAAGAGGTCGATGGCTGTATCTCCCGCTGTTGCTGACAGACTAAACTGGCCTCAGACTGAGGACTCTCACCTGACCCTCCAGAGTACTCACAGGCACACACCACCACACCCAGTTGACTTTTTTATGCTTTAATAACAAGTGTACACACCCCCTATGAGTAGGCACCATATCTACACATCACTGTGGCTGACCCAGGATCTTGCCGAGTCAATATATCCATAGTAACCAGCATGATAGGCACATTGCAGAAGACTCAACTGAGCTTGTTCCCAGTCATTAGCTTCTTGGAACCATCTACACCCCATTTCCATCCTATCAGAACAATGAACCTTTGCCTTAGTGTCTGTACACAAAGCAAAACAGAAGTGATGCATCCATGGAACTTCACTTTTTTTTTTTTTTTTTTTTTTTGATGTAACAGTGGGTAGGGATACAACTTGAGGTGTGATTTCTATTATGTCTCTTTGAAGCCCCTTTGCCGTAAGAATGACCAGACAAACAGCTGGTATTTAGCTTCAGAAAGGCAAGTGACTGCAGGTGTGGTGTTCTTTAAATTGGAATAACCTGTTGTTTGTCCAGTAGCAAAGTAAAGGTGTTCAGTAAATGTTTGTTGAATGATGGCTGTGGAGGTGTGAATAAGAAATGTCTCGCACATGCTCATGTAGTCAAACCTTGTTCCCCCAATTGGTACACTGTTTGGGAAGTTAAGTTCTGGGTCACTGGATACATGATGAGCTCATAGCCCTGGAGACTAGGCAGCGGCTGAGACACACCTAAGAGAATTATCCAAGACCCTCAGAGACCAGAAGAGGAGATCCTGGTGACCTCATCAGGATGGAGCAGACCTTGTGTATGACTTACCCGGCTTTGTGACAGGCACTTCGAGACGCTTCCCACTGTTCGAATCCTCCACACCCTGGGCTGTGATGGAATAGGGCCGACTAGCTTTGTTCTTAAAGATGATGAGGATGGAGTCCCCCACCTCAGCGTGAATCATTGGACCTAAAGGCAAAACACAACAGGACATCACAAATATGTCATGCTCAGCAGTGGAGCCAACCTGAGTTCAAGTTCTTCCACCTTCCCTTAACAGAAGGCCTTGGGTGAATCATGTAATCCGAATCTCAATTTCCTCATCTGCAGAATGGGTTCACTAAGACTTTTCCCATAGAACTATTAAATAGCATTGTGTGTGTATTGTAGGGTTTATTTCTGTCCAGCGAAGCCAGGTATTCAGTGAATGCTGAACTTCTTACTGCTCCGGAGCAACAGAGTTTCAGTTGTAATCTGTGATCCCTTGGATGAGAAGTGTCCGCCAGAGTCTTGGGCATTTGAATATTTGGTCTCCAGTTGGTGGCGCTGTTTGGGAGGTTCAGGTGGGGTAGCCTTGCTGGAGCATGTCAGGAGGGATGGGCTTTGAGATTAAAATCTACACATTTCCAGATTGCTCTCTCTGCTTTGTGCCTGCCCTAAAAGACGTGAGCTCTCAGCTTCCTGCTCTTGTTGCCATGCCTGCCGCCTGCCGCCTGCCGCCTGCCGCCATGCCTCCTTGCCATGCCAGCTCCTATCCCTCTGGAACAGTAAACCCAGGAAAACCCTTCCTTCTACAGGATGCCTTGGTTATGGTGTTTTTCACAGCAACAGAAAACTAACAAATGCCAATACCTGTGTGAAACCTTAAGGGACCCAAACTGCTTATGATCTAGGAAATGGGGTTGGCACTAATGACGAGGCTCCCATGGAATGGTGGGTAGTAAAGGGACTCAGGACAGCACAGGCATGTCACTACTGCATGTCTGGTGCAGACTCTCAGTATGTGCATATTGTGATAGTTAGTTTAACTGTCAACTTGATCCAACCTAGAACCAGCTGAGAAGCATCTTAGTGCAGGGATTGTCTAGATCGGGCTGACCTGCGCTCTTGTCTTTGGAGACAGTCTTCACTGCCTTCATTGATATAAGAAGACACAGCCTGAAAGTGGACAGCTCTGCTCCTTGGTTTGGGGCCCCGGACTGTATGAGAGTACAGAAAGCAACCTGAGCATCAAGCATGCATTCCTTCCTCTCTGCTCTTGAGTGTGGACTGTCTCAAGCTCCCACTGCTGTGACTTCTCCATCAAGTAGACTGTAGCCCGAACTGTGAGCTAAAAGAAACTCTCTTATCTAGGTTGCTTGTTGCCAGCTTTCTTTGTTTGCTTTTTTGTTTTATCACAGCAACAGAAATGAAACCTGGCCAGATGCCTTGAGCGAACACATGCTCTCCGGCCTCTCGTGTGAGCTTCTGTGTCCATGCAGAAGAGTCTGCACCTGCTGAAGCCGGAGAGGCTGTGCCTGATGGCGATGCCCTCCTCATGCCAGTGCCTCCTGCTTTGCAGTGCTAGGGAAACACCCCAACACCTTAGAGTGTGGGGCTCACAGCCATCTTCAGACTCTTTGCCGAAGCATCTCCCACCTGATCCCTAAGGTTCCCTCTTGGGCATCTGGTGTGTTCTACATTCATTCAGAGACATGCCCTTGGATGGTCAATGGTGTGGCAACATCCATTCATTTGTCACTGGAGCAAGCTCCAGCTTGGATTCTGAGAAACATGGCTAAAGCCATTAATCCATCTAAAATCTGAACTACAGTTATCTCCAGAAGTAAAAAGGAACTGCTATGTGTTTGAGCAGTCAGCGTGGGTATAGTTCAGACACTTTGCATGCATTAAAATCATCATTCATTACTGTTTATCGCTCCACTGCACAAGTATGTACATAAGCTATACTGGTTAAAATGATGCCTTCCAGCGGATGGAGCAACGTGATGGGACACGGGGCAATGGTGGACCTGGCACATGCCCACTGAGTTACTGGAAGTCCAGGCCACTGTAAGCTGAAGATGAGTGAAAGGGCCTCACTCTCCACTGGATGATGGCTGCTAACTTGCCCCTGATAGAAGTCACTCATTTCCCTCTGCTGCCAATCAAGTTAGGCTCCTCAGGAGCACGCCCAGCGCCCGCCACTAGCCCAACCCTTTTCTTTGGAGCTCTGTGTGCACTTACAGTTCCAATGAGTGACTCATGCATTACTCATGTGGAAGTAACAAACAAGCTGGTGAGTCACCATGGAGGTGTGGGGGAGGGGAGCACGTAATCATCCTCAGGCTGTTTCACATCAGTCATTATAATATTGAAAATACTGTGTAACCCATACTCACAAAGTTACCTGTGGTGTAAAAAGCACAAATGTAGTTCTCAAATCCTCTAGGCTTCTGCCTTAAAAATATTCTTTTCAAGTGGGGTGGGTCTAATGACTCCAGGTGAGGAGAAGGAGGAAGGAGAGCAGGAAGGCCGTTGTTGATGGCCGCCACACAGATGGGACATCAGCCTGCCCAGCCCATGTGTACGCATGGTCGGTTCTGAGGTCCACAGGTCACTCTCAGCATCCACCTCCACAAGGGAGCTCCTTTCGGCTAGCACTCAGAGTGTTCCATGTCACTGTGCGCACTGAGCCAGGGCCTTGAGGAGGTCCCGCAGACACACTGCCTGATGTGCTGAGTCATCAAACTGTCTAAACTGAAAATTTCTCAGCTCAGTAGAGAGGCCGGAAAGAGGCTCAAGAGCTTGAGACACCTGGTAGATGACAGGGATCCTGATGTGTGTGAGGGGTGGGGCTGGGCAGCGGAGGGGAGAGAGAGGCCTGCCCATGCTTGCTCGCTTGCTCGGGGCTGACAGTGCCTTACCCAGGAGTTGCAGATGCTCCTCCCTCGGTGGCCGGGCTTTAATCTCCACAAATTCTCCATTCGTGTATTCCCTGTAAACCACCTTCTTGTACTGAGAGCCAATCCAGTTTTCAGTGTGATTCATAAATATATCCCCATGTCTGCAAAGAAAAGGCATCAGAAATCAAGGTTGTCAGAAGGCAGGAAGACCGAGAGTGTCTCTGTTATCTGGGGTGCTCTGGGGTGGTGCTCCCCAACCCCAGCTGGGACAGGGTCTCCCGGGGAGTTGGCCTTTGCAACACCTCTGAGAACAGGGCTAGCAGTCAGCACCTCAGAGCCGCTCATGTCCTCATAAAAATAATCCAGCACGGACCCATGGCCACCCTTGGAGACCGTCATTGTCACCCGCTGCAGGGCTCTAAACTGGGCTAACCTTAGAGAGTCCTAATGGGCAACAGCAGCTGTGCCTCTCTGGCTGGTACACACACACACACACACACACACACACACACACACACACACCCTCCTCACAGAAAACACACTCACACACACATACACACACTCCTCACAATAAACACATACACACACACCCTCCTCACAGAAAACACACTCACACACACACACATACACACACATACACCCTCCTCACAGAAAACACACACACACACACACATACACACACACCCTCCTCACAGAAAACACACACACACATACACACACTCCTCACAATAAACACATACACACACACCCTCCTCACAGAAAACACACTCACACACACACTCCTCACAGAAAACACACACACACATAAACACCCTCCTCACACACACTCCTCACAACAAATATACTCTCACACACGTACACCCTCCTCACATAAACACAAACACACACACTCCTCATAATAAATAAACTCACACAATACACCCTCCTCACATAAACACACACACACACACACACACACACACACACACACTCCTCGGCTCTGAAATCCTCCAGGTTTCAGGGCTGTTATTCTCCCCCTCTGAAGACCAAGTCTGCAGGGTGTGTACTGTGAATGTACAAATGTGTGGTCTTGTTATTTTATGTTCTATTAACCCACCCAAACAGTGGATTTTGTGTGTACCTGTTTGAAGATGCTTTAACAGATGCCAGTGTGTGCTAACAGTGACCTCAGCTCACAGCACTGGCCTCAGTCTGAAGCCAGCTTCTCCGCTTTATTTTCTCTGTAAACATATCCCAGCCCTGTTGTGCTTGGGAACCCGAGACAGGGCTTCTACACCCCCGCTCTTTCCAAGAGTGGACCACATAAAGCACACACATGCACAAGCTGTGGCATGATGCAGGTCAAGAACACCTCTTCACAATGGCAGGCCTGAGACACGACTCCGAGATCTGCCTCAGTTACCATTGGCTGTGGATGTGTGAACTAGGCCTCTGAGGTTTCCACAGCTCTTCAGATATCATCAGATTACCACAGGAACCTCAAGTGCTTCTGAGTGATGTGGGAATACTCTGGGGGGTGCTCCCTTCCTGTGTGTCCTCAGGGCCTTCCTGGACACCATTCTCCGAGAGTGGGGCGTGACAAACACATTTTAACAAACAGGCACATTTGTAAATGTGAAGCCTGTGAAAATTAAGGACCAGCTCTTTGTGTCTGTCACTGAAGTAAGTCACAAAAGATGAAGAAGAAAACTCAGAAACAGCTAGATGTCATGGCACAACTGTAATCCCAGCGGCTCGGAGGCCGAGACAGAAGGATGGCTGGTTCAAGACCAGTGAGATGCTGTCCCCAAGAAAACAAAAAACTTTCCCTTCCAAAGTAAGGTGAGTCTAATGTCCTTCCATGTCTCCCAAATTAACCACCTGTGCTCTAATCCAAGAACAGTCCACATACCACCCACACAGCCTCCTTCCTGCTCTCTTCTCTGCACACACAGTGGTCCCCCACTCTGAGGCTGACCCTCTCTTCCTGTGGGAAACCTTTCAGTGATGCTCTCTGCAAACCTTCTCAGTTTGGCTCAGTGCCTGCACTATCTGGTTTTCCTCAGTTCTGAACCTGACTGGCTGGCACTTCCTGCCCCCAGACACTGTGTCCTTTTAAATGTTTGCTCTCTTGAGCATGGTGAGCCCTTGACCCATCCTGTCCTTGGACGCGTTAGTTGCTCTACCAAGAATTCTTTCCCTCTTCTGTACTGTCTTACTCTCCACATCTCATTTCACGGACTGCTTCCTCCAGGGAGTCTTTGCTAACTGGCCCTCCCGCACCACCCCAGATGGGGCTGTGTGCTCCACTGTGAGCTCTCACTAACCTCCTGTCTGTTAGAGCTTGTGGCCCTCGCTGCTTGGTCCAGCATTGTCCTTGGGGACGACGTGTTCAGTGTGGGAAAGCCCCAGTCTGTGCTCCACACAGTTTCACCGGCGTTTCACACAGAGGACATTCAACAGACGCAGTGCCACCTCTGGCCCTGGCTATGGCAAAGGGAGAGAGCCTGCTTTTGTAGCCAGTGGGTCTTAGCCACGCTTGTGAGCGGCACAGACCCAGGTTGTGCTCTGTTTACTGGCTGCCAGTTCTCCTCTTCTGGAAGAGGCACACATAAATTGCTGTATGAGAACTTTATCAAACCTGGGGCTGGGCAGGCGCTGACTGAATGAGTCAAGTGTGCTGTGAGGCCATTATGACGCATTGTTTATAAAAGTTTTAGTATTATCTGGTGTATAATTACTGTTCAGTAGACGTTCATTATGGTGACTCCTGGAATTGCTAAATTATACACATACTGGTCTTCAAGCTCTAGAGTGCTAGCACCGTAACTTGTCTTTAACAATTTAATCTACTTTCTCAGATTTCCTCTTGTTGCACAAATCTGGTGTGAAGTTGTGCTGATGGGTCCATGTGTCATTTTTCTGGAATCCGGCTGCCTTCCCAGCACACTCTAAAGAAACCCCCAGTGAAGAAAGTCAGGCACCAAGAGGGTCTGTGCTGATCAGGACAATAAATGTCTCAGAGATGACTAGTGCCAGAAAGTGGGTCAAAAATAATAGCCTTGGGGCCAAGTCAGATGCATAAGCTGGAGGTGTGGCCGGATACACCTTTGAGCTTCTCCAGGGACTGAAGCAGAGGAAGAAACTGAATTCCAACCTGGGCAACTCAATGAGATCCTGTCTCAAGCAAGCAGCTGTTGGTATGAGTGATAGAGTGCTTATGTAGCAGGTAGGTGGCCTCGGTTTGATCCCCAGTACTGAAAAAAATCCAAGGCACGAAAGCTGGCATGTAGAGAGCGTTGGCCTCTCAGCTCCGATCACTGGAGGCACTGTGGATGTGTGCCACAGGGCATGCACACACCGTCATTGTGGGGTTATGGGTGCTGTCAGAGCAGGACAAGTTTTGCAGACTGAACACAGGTCATCAGTCTTGGGCAGCAAGTCCCTTACCTACTGAGCTATTTTGCTGTCCCCGTGCCTCATATAAACCGATAAAACTATAGACTTCGGTACACTTTGAATGTGTGGCAGGTCCGTATCCCACCTCACTTTTGTTGACTTATGGTCAATAACCAGAGCAGTAGGGAATTCATTCATGTTTCCCATCCTTCCCACCAGCACGCTCTTGTTATTCTATACCGCTTGTCGCCGAGTCCCAGGGCCCGAAGCTAGACTTCACCGCTCATTCAGACCCACTGGAGCTTCAACCGTAAGTTAAAGTAGAGGCTGCGGTGATGGCGGCCGCAGAGTGAAATAACCGCTTTAGAGACGGTCAAGTTAGTTTTCATTTTCCACAGAGAACATCAGTGTTCAACTTGGACTGGCAGCAGGAGTTGTCCCAAAGCAACATGTGTAGATTAGCAAATTGTTCGTGAATAATTGAGTAGCTTTTTAAATGCTCTTGCCCTCAGGACAAACCTTCTCCATAGTCACTTTGATTTTTTTTTTTCATTTATCTCTAAGATGGCAGTGTTACAGTAGCTTTTCCCCAAAACAATGGCTGGCAAGTAAGAAAAGAACTGACGGGGAGCGCAAGGAAAGCAGCGGTGGAGGTGTTTGTGTGCTGCAGACATAAGGATTTGTAGATCGGTGGTAAGAGCCAGGAGGGAAGGGAGTACGGAGACAGTGTGGTGTGGTGGAGAGAATGTGGATTCTCCCTGGGACGATCTGCATTCAGCTCCTGCTCAGCTAAAGACTAGCTCAATGCCCCCACTCTTCCTACCAGGCTCCCTCATCTGCATGCCAGGGCAGTTGTATCCAAGCAGCAGGAGGTTGTCTGCATGCCAGGGCAATTGTATCCAAGCAGCAGGAGGTTGTGAAGTAGACAGTGTTAAGGTGGGGAAGTCTACAGTCTGTGAGGGACGGGATGCCTTCCTGGTGCCCAGACTCTCCCAGTGGGCCCCAAGGAGCTTGGTCCCCGAACTCCAGAATAAGACAGTAGAGGACCAAGACTCATAACCTTTGTGTGGCTTGAGCATCGCCGATGCTTCAACATGTGATCTTGGCTGGTGTCACTCCAACAAAGTGTCAGTCTGTCTGATTTCCTGGGTGCCTTGGAGGTCTTCTCTTCCCACCCTGACTCAGGAATCTCTTTCAAGGCAGCAGCCTCAGATCATCCCTGGATGTCCCCACCTGGATCCATGTTTGCCAGAGGCATTTCCTCCGCTCCCCTCCCCTGCACTAATGGGTCTACAGCAGCCCGTCTTCTCACCTGGATCCACACACCTCCTCTGCCTCACCTGGTTCATTTTCCTCCCAGTCCCACCATTGCTGTGGATCCCCCTTTCCTCTAAATACTTCCATCTGCATTCTCTTTCAAAAGTCTATCTATCCATCTGTCCATCCATCCATCCATCCATCCATCCATCCATCCATCCATCCATTCTCCTCAGGCATGAAGTAGACCAATCAAAGCTAGGGGACTAGGAGAGGTACAGGAATCCACTATGGTGCCCTTAGGATGACCTGCTTCCAGGTGAGGAGACAGAGTGTCACTAATTTTCTATACTCATAAGGAAAAGTCTCTGCCTGCAGAACTGCGCACAGAAAACCCGGCCACTTGGTTTCCAAGGGTGCTAAGGCCCACAGAGCACGCGCATTCCCACCGAAGAGCCGTGGCTTCGCCCATGGTACCTTTCCCCTCCTGCGTCCAAGTGCTGCTTTTCGAACTCCCAGTTTTTGTTAGGGGCATAATCCCATTCTACCTCTTCAGCGGCGATGAAAAAGGTTCTTAGCATCCCGTAGGGTGGCTCAGAAGGGTCCCTGTTGCCACAGCTGCTGACCTCATAGATCTGACCCATGCCTCTCACGAAGTGGTGCAAAGTGGAACAGAACACCTTGAAAATACCTGAGGAGAAAAGGCTCGGCATTGTGCCCACGACTTGATATTTCTGGTGGTGATGTCTTACCAAACTTACACATCTTATCCCAATATCAGTAACCAGTAATGTGGACTTTTAGAATACCAACCTCATGGTGTTTTTAAAGCAGAGCTCGTGAGGAATAAATTACTTTGATTATAATATTTTTGGAGGGAAAATGCTATATAAAATTCATTTGTAGTAGGGGGAAAAATCAGAATATTATTACCAAGAAAGGAATTCTCTGGATCATCCCTATTAGTACACACCTGCTTACAGTCACTTCTGGAAAATTACTGATTCTTATGACTCTCTCAGCCCAGCCCAGTTTATAGGGAACTAATTACCTATGAGATGAAAGACCTAGGCAACGTTCAAATTAGGCCATGGTTAGGGATTTTTCCCTGAAGGATTTTGTAAATTATAAAGCAAGTAAGCATGAAAGTCAAATGGATTACTTCATTACAGCCTTGAGCCAGGGAGGGCTCCTGTGTATCATGCTGGATAGAACAGAGAAAGAAAGAGATCAGCTGTAGCTCTCTACAGAGTATCAACAATGGTATCTGAAGGAGATTTATGTAATCTAAAAACTGAATTTCTAGCTATGTTGGTATCTGAGATGTGTGTGTGTGTGTGTGTGTGTGTTTAGAATACATACACACACATATGTATACATATAGAGAGAGAGATTCAAATTAAACTCACCATAAAAATATGTGAAATAAAATCATTGGAGATATTAACTATGAATGAAATTGTTGGATTAATCTTCCCATTCTCTAACAGGCTGTTCTTAGAGGCAACTGGTTAGTTTTCCATAACTACCTATGATGTACAGAGAGAGCTCTGTTCTTGCTCCATATGGAGCTGTTGTCTAAATACTGACTGTCATTTCTGGATGAGAAGAATTGGTTTGTTTGATGGGTCCATTGCACCCACTTTGAACAGAATCCCAATAAAGTAAATACAAAAGGTATTATTAGTGTTATAGATGCTAGGAAGGTATAATACGAAATCATAGAGAAGACACATGAAAAGACTTCTCTCTAAACCATAGAGAAGATACCTGGGAAAACCTCTCTATCTCTACACCATAGAGAAGACACCTTGGGAAGACCTCTCTCTACACCATAGAGAAGACACCTTGGGAAGACCTCTCTCTACACCATAGAGAAGACACCTTGGGAAGACCTCTCTCTACACCATAGAGAAGACACCTTGGGAATTATTGAAGTAAGCAGGCCTTTTGCCAGTCACTGATACATGCTCCCCACCAAACACAAGCCAGAAAACATCACTAGGTGATGATCCTTACAAGCCCATGGGGTGTATGAGTAAATACCAAAGCAATGGAATGAGAAACAGATCACTAAGTGTATGGCAGCCAGCGCTGTCTTTGAGTCCCAGATTCTATGGATTAGAACAATTTGGCTGTTCTCAGTCCATGCTCCTTTTTGGTGCGTGTTTGAAAACCTGCATTACACTCAAGGCAGTTCTTGGTTTGGGTGATTCATAATCGATCGAGTATATTCATGCAGACAGGTGGAACACTGTAGGAGCATTTCGAGACAAAGAATACAGAGTTTCTATTTGCTACAGAAGGAAGTTCTTGGGCAAAGGTTTTGAAGCCCCAGCCTCAAGCTATTAACTGATCACACAGAACCATCTCTGCTGTGATTCCAAAGGGAAGTCAAGAAGTAGAAAGTTCATGATTAGGGGAGATGTCCATCAGGGGCTCATCTCAGGGGCCATTGCTCTGGGCTCTTGCTCAGACTGATGATGATGTTGAGAAGGAAACATGTTGAATGCCCATCACAGTTGTCATCCTCTCTGGTGAGCAGCCGTGCTCTTATGTATTTCTCTGTATCTTTTGTAAAAATGTCCTAATGGTCTCTTTAGTTGGGAATCTCTAAGGGAAGAGGTTCCAGGGGCAACATGGACTCCAAACCCAGTGCAACTTACCTTCTGGGGAAAGCAAGGTGCTCAAGGGAATAAAAATAAAGACATCCTCAAATAACTCATCCCCAAACCACTATCCACCCCCAGGGAAAGGAGACCAGGCTACAGTAACAGCCACATCCACAGCTTCATAGCCCAAAGCATCCACTAGGCTGTCCATACCAGGTAGATGCTTCAAAGAATAACTTCAGCTATGTTTGTGCTTCATGAAAGCAAGAAGTATCTGTTTTTTACAGAGCTTTTTTTCATGGCTATGAATTAACACATTCACCTAGTATTCACAAGGATTTGTCTCAGATCCATGGGAATTCACCAGACGTTTATATGAATCATCAGGGGTTCACGTGGATTCACATAGGGTTCACCTGGGTTTACCTGGATTCACTCAGGGTTCATGTGGGTTAACCTGAGGGTTACCTGGATTCCCCCCAGGGTTCATGTAGCTTAACTTGGAGTTCACATGGATTCCCCCAGGGTTCATGCGGGTTAACCTGGAGTTCACATGGATCCCCCTATGGTTCATGTGTGTTAACCTGAGGGTCACATGGATTCCCCCAGGGTTCATGCAGGTTAACCTGAGGGTCACATGGATTCCCCCAGGGTTCATGTGTGTTAACCTGAGGGTCACATGGATTCCCCCAGGGTTCATGTAGATTAACTTGAGGGTCACATGGATTCCCCCAGGGTTCATGTGGGTTAACCTGGAGTTCACATGAATTTTCCCGGGGTTTATGTGGGTTAACCTGAGGGTCATGTGGATTCCTCCAGGGTTCATGTGGGTTAACCTGGAGTTCACATGGATTCTCTCACAGTTCATGTGGGTTAATCTGGGGGTCACATGGATTCATCTGGGGTTTATGTGGATTCTCCTAGGTTTGTGTGAATGTGGCTCATCTGGGATCTGTGGACAAAGCCATGTAAAGGATCCCAGCTGTGCGTCTATCTTATCCCTCTATCTTTCACTCTATGTGTTTGCACTGAAATAGCCAGAATTCTGATTTGAATCAAAACTATATCTGCTTGCGGAGTTTTTGGAGTGCCAAGGTCTACCAGTTTTTCCTGGACAAGAATTGTATGAGGACGAGTTGGGATTTGATCACCTGAGATGGCCCTGCCAGGCTTACCTGCATGGTCCGGCTGCATGAATGCCGTTGTGGACATGTGGGGAAACAGAGCCAGGGAGTCACGATGAGTCCCTCGTAGGTGGATGGTGTTGCCTTGAAAATAAACTCCATGCATGTCTGTGTCAGTGCCCATTCCAATCAAGTGCCAGGAAACTCTGTCTTTCTTGCACATGCTGAGGCCTGGCTGGCTGCCATACATGTAGCCATTAATAGCTAAATGGAAGGAAGAAGATGATGAATGCCTGTTGTGGAATATTATTTTAAGATGTGTTACATTTGTTTATGCTGTGGAACATTTGTTTAATGATGCAAAGATGTGTTGCATTCTTTCATGTTGCATTTGTTTAACTCTGTGAAGCTGTGATACTTTGCCTGCCTAAAACACCTGATGGTCTAATAAAGAGCTGAACATCCAATAGCAAGGCAGGAGAAAGGATAGGTGGGGCTGGCAGGCAGAGAGAATAAATAGGAGGAAAAATCTGGGTTTGAGAAAAGAGGGAGGAGTGAGAAAAGGAGGAGAGGAGGATGCCAGGGGCCAGCCACAGAGTAAGAAGGAAAGAAAGATAAATAGAATAAAGAAAGGTTAAAAAGCCCAGAGGCAAAATGTAGTTAAAGAGAAGAGGGATCATTTAAGTTAGAAAAGCTGGCTAGAAACAAGCCAAGCTAAGGCCGGGCGTAGAATAAATTTACTTTGGAGCTGGGTGGCCGGCCCCCAAAAGAGTTAAAAAAGAAAAACTACAAGTGCCCATTGCAGTTCTGCAGTCATACTGAAAACACCATCTCACAAAGCGGTCATCAGTGTGCTCGTGGAGAATCTCAAGCATGTGAACTAGAGGATGAGTGCTACTGGGAAAAAGACACATGGTGTCTAGAATTAACAATAAATCTGAAAATATACTAAAATTATAAAATTTAGCAATACATATTCTAAGACAGTAATTCCAAAAATCACTAAAGAGATAGCTCAGTGGTTAAGAGCACTGGCTGCTCTTTCAGAGGACCTAGGTTCAATTCCCAGCACCCACATGGTGATGCAAACATCTGTAATTCTAGGCCCAGGGAATCTGACTCCCTCTTCTGCCTTCCATAGGCCATATAGTCCATAGGCATACATGAAAGCAAAACACTCATTCTTATAATAAAATAATAAAAATAAATTTCAAAAAAATATCAATTGACTTTTCCACGTTCCCATATTCCTCTAGTGTTTTCTCATGTTAGCACTTGGGTGAGTTGGAAGAGAATCTTTTCTGTCTTTAGACATGTATTTAATGCTTTCATTTCTAGATCTTTCATTAATTAATTAATTAATTCATTATTCACTCATTCATTCATCAAATACCATTTGAATACAGCTTATAAAATAAGTTTTTTGGGTTTCTCCTTTTCTTGCCATACAAACAATATTGGAACTAGAACCCAGTTTAAAATTAAAATGAAATATGAACCTAGAAATACTACTTTCCCTGAAATGTGCTTTTTGATGATGTAGGAATATGAGTGTCATGTGGTCCAAACTACGCTTAGGCTGGATTTGACGTACCCATCAATTGTGTTATATTTTCTACACAGGGCATCTCCGAGGACACCTTTCTTTTAAAGTTTGGTTTTCCTCTATGGCATGACCACGTCCTCACTCACAGCTTAGTTTCTCCCTTTTATTGTCAACTAAAAAAACATAACGATGCATGCCTGTAATTCCATCACTTGGGAGGTGGAGGCAGAAGGATCAGGTGTTCAAAGTTTGAGGCCAGTCTGGGATACACAAGCCCCTGTCTCACAAACAAACAACCAAACAAACATCAGAAACAAATTCACGTCCAGTTATAGCAAAGCTCTCCTGGAAGCTGAGATTGAAGGTCATTACTCCCTGAATTCCACAGGTCCAGGGGGGAGGCGGGGGCTCTGTTGGACCTGAGCATTGAGGATCATGGGAGTTTGTGACCTGATTGCTGCAGGTTATTGTAACCTTGAGCTTTGGGAACAAGGGAGGGATTTGAGAGTCTATTTATGTGTTCTTCTATATTGTTTTAAAAGGTAATAAAAACGTTATGCTTGGAGCTGAAATGGGAGCCCTCACAGCCCCACACTGACATGTTACAGCATGCTAGCAAGGGGCCAGCTGCTCACTCTTGTGGTTCTGGTGTCTGGCTCTGCCTGGCTGCATCAGGCAACATAGCTGAGACCGATAGAATCCTCTGTTAGTCACAATCACTGGGTGGTTTGCCGTTATGATATAAAGAGAAACTGAAAAAGAATTAATTCTCCCACATTAAGATGGGGTGGGAACCACTAGTGTTTGAGGAATTAACCCTTGCAGCAGTTGCTCATTCTAATTGATTAGATAATTAGTATGATTACTCTCCATCGTCTCCTGTGGGAGTCTAGATGTGGGAACTCCATCAGTCATTTCCACACTTTGGATCTTCTGTGTTCTTTGCTACTTCAGACTCTGTATTGCTTTGTCTAAGGATGGCACGATGTTTTAGAAGTGTCAGATTCACAGTATCTCTGGGAGCTCATGGAGCTGAAGGAATGAAATGATTTATCTTCCGACCATGAGCAATACCAAAGACACCAAAGTTAGGAAGTCAGGTGGGCGCCGCCACCACATTTCCCAGAGTGCCTCAGCTTTTCGTACCATGCATCCGGTTGGATTTCACAAATTCCTTGTCTTCTTTGTCAACACTGAAGGGATGCCAAGTAAATTTCTGGATGTTTTCATCAAGATACCTGCTGAGATTCTCATCAAAGACTGTGAACAGTAGGTAAAATTCCTTGTCTATTCCTTTCTAGAGAAAACGAAGAAACAAAGACATACAACATACAGCTTGAATTAGTCCTAAAATTCACACAAAGTGGGTCATCAACATTAGCATAGACTCACTCATCACTTCCTAAGTCAGGATTCTGAGTGTGGTCTATCTGTTGCTGTCCTCATGCCTAAGGTATGCTATCCAAGCCAGTCTCTATCCTGTAGCTTGCCTCACAGGGATCCTTAGCAATGCTATCCAATTGCCTCTCTCTCAATTATATTATGTAAGCTCAGTGGTCCCCTTCCTATCCACCTGCTCTTCCTGTATTCTATATATTTCTGTCTTTGGTCATGCATGGTCTTAACTTTTCAAAAATTAGACAAACCCTCATAACCACACAAGTAAGTTTCAGAAGAAAGAGACACTGCTTTGTCACTGGCCATTGCTGCTTAATCTCCAGTACACTGCTGGTCCCTCCCACCTACAACCCTGGGGAGAATGTGGTGGCACTGATGGCCTACCTGTGTCCCATCAGCGTTGAGGGTACCCTTTTTACAGACCAGCAAAGGCCCCACAAGCCCAGCACTAGTGTCCTTGATTGGCTGAACTGCTGAGAAGTAAAGATAGGTCAGGCAGGGGGGATCTTCATCCGTCGGGCTGACACTCTCAGGCACTGTCCACCTGTAGGTGAAGGTTTCACCTGGCTTGACATGAGCCCCTGGTTTCAGAAATCCTGAGGATGCAAATGAAATAGTTGCACACAGCCAAGAACATTAAGCCTGGGTTTCCAGTCCTGGTTGGCTCTCTCTGATGACATATTTTACAAAAGGAAAGTTGTTTTTTTCTTACAAATTCTACTATGGGAACCCTGGACCTCAGATGCCATTTTATGAGATAGAAGCTAAAATAGAAGTGTTTCTTTATTTGCAGATTGTATCCTATTTTGTTCGCATACCATGTTTAGCCAGCCAGTTTTAAACAAATGATAGTGTTGCGTTCACACAATTAAATACAAGTCTGTAAGATACCACTAAATATCTCCTATGTGAAATATATCATACTCAGTCCTGAAGAAGATGCCCTGAAAATTAAGCAAGAATTCCGCCTTTGGGGGCTGGGAGAGAAGGCTCAGTAGTTAAGAGCACATACTGCTCTTGCAGAGGACCTGAGAGCAGTTCCCTCATACCCATATCAGGCAGCTCACAGCAGCATGCAACTCCAGCTTCGGGAGATCTGATGCCTTCTTCTGGTCTCAGTAGGGACCTTCATTACACACACACACACACACACACACACACACACACACACACACACAAGAATTTAAAAATAAATCATCAAAATAGAACCTTATCTTTAACAAGCTTGAAATCTGGGAGGCAAATGTAGCAAATAAATCAAACAACAAAAGCCAGAGCTTATGAGCAAATGCCCAGGGTTCAGAGCTGCTAAACAGACATCCTGGGTTGAAATTAAGATTCCAAATCCCAGGCAAGCACACTGGTCTTTCTGACTTGAACAACACTACAAGTTTACTCTACATCTGACTTTTGCTCTTCAAAAAGGTGTCCAGTGAGTTTTCTGAATAAAATAGTGGAAAATTCAAACATTCTCACTGTCTCTCATGTTTCCTGTGAACTGACCCCACCCCAGTTACTCTGAGCATTTTGGATTGAGGATGAAGAGGGCAGGCAGGGGGTACGATGAGCACAGAAATTCTGCTGTAGGAGATGGGGTAGATCTGAGGGAGCACCTCCCTCCTCTGTTCTGTTTCAACCCTTCGCCATCACTATAAAGCCTGCTCCCCACTGGTCTGGCTTCATTCAAGATCACAAGGAGTTATCTCAGGTAGCCATGATGTCTAGTGTAGAGTAGGGATGTGTACCAAAAAAACTGGAGTTTCCCATGAGCAATACCAGCAATGCAAGGATAGTTCCCACTGCCCCTTGTGTGTGCAGAGAGCCTGTACTCCCTGCTCTTTGAGAGACAGAGGCTGTAGATGTTGGCCCACAATACTGATTTTCAATAAATATCTGCTGGTGGATACAACAGAGACCATGTGTGAGATGTTTATGTAAACAAAATGATGCCTCAGCTCTCACCGGCAGAATTTCCTGCAACTCGCAGTAGACATGCTCTCCATGTCGGAGAACTGGAAGAGACTGTGGAATCTCTTTGCCATTGAGGGGAAAGAAATGAACGTTTTCTAAGAGATGACTGTGGGCTTAACCCAGCCCTAAATGCTCTCAGCCCTGTAAGGTTGTTGTTAATATCTGTAATTGATCAGCAAGAAGAGCAACATTCACAGTTTAAAAAATCATTCACACGATTGGAATTGGGAAAAGAAGGGACTAGGAACTTGAGCCAAATCTGTCTCCTTTTTGTGTTTATGGTGGATGTACTTGTTCATGTGGGGGGATGCAGTGTGGGTGTATTCATTGGGAAGTCAGAGGTCAACTTCGCACATCTTTCTCATCACTCTCCACCTTAGTTGTTGAGACAGGGTCTCTCATCGAACATGTAGCTCACTGATTTCTACACTGAATCTACTCTGAAAAGAAAAAAAAAGAGGATATGGATATGATAAGATAAAAGGTAGATTATTGAATCTACTCTGAAAAGAAGGGGAGGATATAGACATGATAAAATAAAAAGGTAGATTATTAAATCTACTTTAAAGAAACAACTATTAGTTTTAAATATTTTGCATTGGATTGGATTTTGTATATTGCATACAAATTTTGTATATTGATACAAATTTGAGATTATTTTTCTTAGAATATACTGTACATATATTTCTAATCTTAGTCAAGGTATTGAACCTATACAATTCATTTAAAATGTAATGCAATTTTCTAGTTCTTGAAAGTTATTATTACTAACTAATTAGGATATAAAGAAATGAAAGTAGTCATTACAATCAAACTTGTAGGTCATGTTAGGTATGTTTTCAAGGTCAAACAGATATATTTTAGATAGACAGGTCATCTTCAAACATTTCAGAGATCTACAAAATATGGCATTTAAGATGTTTGGATAACATAGATTTTTTTTTTAATGGCAATGAGACATGTCTGCTCCTGGCAGCACCAATCTACTTCAGAGAAGATGATAGGTGTCGAAGGCAAATTACCCACTGGACAAGAAAATGCCCTTGCCTCAACTGCTGACAGTATTCTGTCCAAATGGACAAGCAGGACACAAAAGAAAGGACTGTGAACTTTGCCAAGACAAAGTAGGGAAACTCTTTAGAAAATCCTGCTTCACAGATAAGTCTGTCAGATATGCTAGACTTGTAGGCCAAAGATGGATGCCCCAATATTGCAGAGGAATCTTGGGTGACTGTTCTGGCAGTCATCTGTTTCTGTCATTTCTTGCATTTTCTGGGGGGTGGGGAGTCATTTGTTTGCACCTTCTGTTTATTTAAGTAATATTATTTCCTTCTTGGGTCTCTGAGGGAGTTGAAGACTAGATAGTTATAGTTTTCTTTATTAATAAATTCAGAAAAGAAACTAAAGAGATGTAAAGTGTATAAGGTTGAGAGACATCAAAAGACATTTTTTGGTTGGTAGTACAAGTTAGGATAGAAAGTGAATTAGGTACAACATTTTGGACTCAACAAAATAGGATAAATAATGAAGTATTTTCTCTGAATTTGTCAAATGTTAATGGACTGGACATTGTTAATTCTTAACTATATATTGTATATACTTATTGTACGTATTGTATATAGTTTTTCTTTTATTAGTTATAACCTTCTTTTATTATTTTAGACAAAAAAGAGGGAAATGTGGTGACATATTGTGTACTCTAATAAAATTTGCCTGAAGATCAGAGAACAGAACAAGTCACTAGATCAAACATAGACGCCAAGCAGTGGTAGCACACACCTTTAATCCTAGCACTGGGAGGCAGAGATCTGTGAGTTCAAAGCCACCCTGGACTATATGAGATTGACTCAGTCTTGGAGAGAAACAGAGCCAGGTAGTAGTGGCACACACCTTTAATCTTAGTACTTGAGAGTCACACGCCTTTAATCCCAGCACTTGAGATCTCATGCTTTTGCTTGGGAAGCACACATGCCTTTAATCCCAGGAAGTGATGGCTGGGCAGAGAAAGTCATATAAGGCGTGAGGAGACTGGAACTAGAGCTTTTTCGGCAGAAGCCTTTTCGGCTGGAGAGCCTTTTCAGGCTGAGGAGTCCTAGAGGTAAGAGGTGACTGTGGTTTGTTCCTTTGTCTCTCTGATCTTCCAGCATTTACCACAATATCTGGCTTCAGGTTTTTTATTAAAAGGTCATTTAGCAATTCATGTTACAAATGAGCTTCAGGGATCTGCTTTTTACACACACACCCCACACACACCAGCGATGGTGTGTGGACATGCTCCATCCTGCTCCCAGCTTCTGCATGGATTCTCAGGATCCAAATTCAGGCCTTCACGCTTGCACAGTAAGTATTCTACCCACTGAGTCATCTTCCCAGGACCTCTGTCTCTTTCTTAATCCTTTCCTCACTCATCCTATTTCCTTGATAAGCTGGGTTGAGACTCACCATCTATATTTGGAGCTGCGTCCGACGCCTTGTCATAGAACACACCATGGGGTAAAATGCTGTAGACCTTGTCAGCTTTGTTAGCAAAGGTCACTAGCAGGGTGTCACCCACCTCTGCCTTGATGACTGGACCTGGGAAGCCAGAGAAGAGGATGAAAAGAGATGGGAGAAATAAATCAGAGCAGAAGTCATTCTTCAGAGGTGTCTGCTCCCAGGTGAACACATCCCCTTCAAAACATCAGAAAACACGTCCTGTACCAAGGATTCCAAGATGGGCTTCAGTCTCAGAGGGTATCTTTCTTTTACTAAAAGTGGCATCAACATATTCCATGTACCGAGCCTTCCAGTACTTCCCTCCTATTCTGTTTTCAGCTTGTGTGAAGTACACCGCAGAGTCACTGTGGAAAGATGTGGGAATCTGAGAATATATCCAGATTCATCTCCCAAATGCATTCATCATGGAACCCATTTTGCATCTGTTTCAGGGGATCAGACACCCTCTTCTGGCCTCCACAGGCATCAGGCTTGCACAAGGTAAACAAACATATATATAGGCAAAAAACCTATACATGTAAGATAAAATTATTTTTATATCAACTTGAAAAATACTATGTCTTGTGGAAGCCCAGAGACTCAAGACTAGGGAGGGGAGGTTTCACTTTAGAAGCAACACTAGACTTGGGTTTCAAAACAATGGCATTTAACTGGACATGGAGGAAAAGGAAGGAGAGGCTGCATAGTTTACACAGGGACCCCATTAGACCTCAACAGCTTATCTCCATCCAGAGTCATCTTATTCCCTCTCTGATACTGCTCCACAAGGGCAAAGGCCTTCTATTCTGTAGCGCAGTGCCTCAAATGACCCTGACCACTGTTGTTTGCACTTAAGAGGGTCTCAGGAAATGTTTGATAAAGAAATGAGTGAGTGAATGAATGAGTGAGTTAATGAATAAGAGAATGAATGGGTGAGTGAATGAATTAATGAGTGGATAATGAATAGATAAGTGAATGAATTGTGAGTGAGTAAATGAATGAGTGGATTATGAATGGATAAAATGAATCAGTGAGTCCATGAATCTGTGAGTGAGTGAATGAATAAATGAGTAATTGAATGAATGAATGAAGAGTTAGTGAATGAGTGATAGAATGTTTCTAGAGTTTCCATCTAACCAACAATCACAAATAATCACTCTCCTATTTCTCAGCAGCCTGCTCCTTTTTGAACAGAGGAGGATTTGGATGGGGGGGTAGATAAGAGGTGAGGAGAGGGAACAGGAGGAGAGGAGGGAGGGGAAACTGTGGTCAGTATGTAAAATGAATGAAAAAATTTAATGAAAAGTTAGGAGTCTACAAGCTATGATATCATGATATCTGCCATCAGAGACACAGTGATGTAGATCATAGGAAATAGCCTACTGCACACCTTTCTGGAGAGAAATTGGGAACACCAGCAGAGTTCTTACCTGCCAGACGAATTCAGGGGAAATCCGGTGAATTTATCGTAGCCTTGGGGACCATAATCCCAAAGGACTTTCTCAGCTGCTATGAAGTAGTGCCTCTGCTGACCCTGCATCTTCGGGTGAGGAACATTACTTCTGCAGTTACCCACGTTGTACTGTCCCAGCATACCAGCTGCAGACGGGGAAACACACAGGGCAAGGCATGGATAAAACACCAAGAGAAACAGACAAATTTGACTTCATCAGCATTTGAAACTTTTATACAGAAAATTGGACAACAAACCAAGTTAACAAGAAAGGATAAATGGTGTGTGTGGAGGGGAGTTTTAGTATATTTAAATGCAGCAAATACTAACAAATTAAAAGTTAATCATTTTAAACATAAATAAAAAAGTAAATCTCCAATAGAAAATGGGACAGGCACAAAAATGGGTTGTTCAGAAAAGAAATAACACCAGTCGATAAACAAATGAAAAGGTTTCTATCTTAATTGCAATTATGCAGCTCCATTGTTCATTAATAGGACTGATACAATCTACAAGTCCTAATTCCCAGGGTTGTCAGGCAGATGGAGGATGAACATGCTCACATGTTGTGGGTGGATGAGTAACAATGTCTGATAGGGAATTAAGCAGTGTGTGCCTGAAGCTTAAAAAAAATCCAATTCTGATCCAAGAATTCCGAATCCAGGAGTTTAAGAAAAGGAATCTGTAAATTGTTCCAACAGAAAGGAGACCAAGTGGGAGCAGTAAGCAGTAGAGTGTTGGTGAAGCCAGTGTGGTCTGTGACATTGGAGGCAACAACGTTGATAAAGTCACTCTGCGCTCGCTCACACGGAAACACTGCTGCAGATATCGATGAGTAGGAGAGTGGGCTGTAGAGAGGTGGACTACATCAGCTTTGTCTCATAAAGTCCGGAGCTATCTCTAGATGGGATTGTTGAGTCTCATAAAGTACGGAGCTATCTCTAGATGGGACTGTTGAGTCTCATAAAGTACGGAGCTATCTCTAGATGGGGGATTGTTGAGTCTCATAAAGTACGGAGCTATCTCTAGATGGGATTGTTGGGTCTCATAAAGTACGGAGCTATCTCTAGATGGGGGATTGTTGACTTTTAAAATCAAACTGCAGGGACCGGAGAGACGGCTTAGTAGTTAAGAGCACTTGGTGCTCTTGCAGCAGACCCAGGTTTGGTTCCCAGCACCCACCTGGTGGCTCACAACTGTCTATAACTCCCTTTGCAAGGAACCCAACTCCCTTTTCTGGCCCCCATGAGCACTTTATGCACGAGTCACATACATACAGGCAGACAAGCACTCATACACATAAAATATGAATCAATCTTTTAAAAATACATTTGCATAAATTTATAGTTTTATAATAATGTTTTCTGAGGGTATGGGCAATTCAAGAAATATTTTATATTGGTCATGTATAAATACTCATTTATGGTTACAACTACTAGCTAGATCAAGCTGCCATATTAGCTTCAAATGGCTGTTGTTATCTTAGTTTAAATCTAAATTTGGAATTCATACATCAGAAAGTTTCTTCCCAAACTTAAAAGCGTGTGCAACATTAAGACTAGAAACCTGGGGACCGGAGAGATAGCTTAGCAGTTAAGTGCACTAACTGCTCTTGTAGAGGACCCAGGTTCAATTCCCAGTGCCAACATGGTGGCTGACAGGCATCCTTAAAGCCTATTCCAAAGGATATGGCTACTCCTTCTGGCCTCTGTGGGCACCAGATACACACATGGTACATAGACATACATGCAGGCAAACACACATATACATACAAATAAGATAAATAAACCTAAAAAGAATTTTTAAAAGAATAGGAACCTGTCTTATTCATCTGGTCTTTCCATACTAGTGTCCAGAACATATTAACTGGGTTGAGTTTAGTTGGAATAACCCAGCTGACTGACACCAGGACTAGCTACAGAAAGGTAATAGAACCAAGAAAGTGTTGTCAACATCACCCGAATGTCAGGACTCTAACTATTAGCATCTGCATGTGGTAGCAGCATCCACATTTAACCAGACATTATCCTTCCAAGTTTATGTCACTGGCGTCTTTTTTCTCTTCCTGTTTTCACCATCTAAGAACAGATCCTTTGTGCATTATAACTCTGCTACTGCTCCTTGGCTGGCACAGTGGCCAGAGTCCCCCCATGCGTGCATGCACACAAACCACACACACACACACACACACACACACACACACACACACACACATACATACACACACACACATACACACACATACACACACACATACATACACATACACACATACATACACACACATACACACACATACACACACACATACACACACATACACACACATACACATACATACACACACACATATATACACATACACACATACATACACACACATATATACACACATACACACACACACACACACACACACACACACACACACACACACACACACGGGGTAGTTCTGCATGTGCATGTTGATTATTCCAAGCCACTGTACTGACCACAGCACAGCACCAGAGTGCCTGAAGGTGTGGATATCACACTTCCATGCAGACACCCTGTCACCTTCTCAGCCTGGCCATTTAAATCCTTTCCTACAGGGTCGATCTGCCTTTCTAGTCTCTCTCATCACTCTTTGCCACAAATCTTATGTCAAGTGAAGATGTACTTTGGGTTGTTTCAAAGAACCAAGACCAAGACAGGCACACATAAGCCAACTTTATCTTTTTAAATCTACTTACCCTGAGCACAGAACAGTGTAAGCCAATGGATTTTTGTCTCAATATAAAAAATGTTCTAACAGCAGTTCAGAGCTGAGCTGAGCTGACACAGCACTAATGATACTCAGAAGGAAACTCAAGGATTGGGTGGGGATGAGTCCTGATCTCTGTCAGGGCTTTTCCATGTCTATTTCCAGTCACTGGAAGAGAATATGTGCACTTTCAGTGGGCGTGGTCTTTCCTCCCTTCATCTATCCATTTCCTCCCCTCACAGAGGGGCTCAGCTTAGGAGTTCACTCCTCAGAAGTCCCATAGACTGCTCTACAGGCACACCCATGGGGAATTAATGTTGCACACTCTGTGTGCTTTGTAAATGTCTAACTACTAGCTCCTAGGTTTCTTTAAGGTTTCAGATTATTCTTAAGAGCACCATTAATAAACATCTGTAGAGGATGCTAAAAAAAATGCACACTGTGTCCTGCAGATGCTAAATAGTTAAGTAGATGCAATGCATGTGGGAATCTACTTCAGAGCACAATGACAAGCCTCTCCACACAGTCTCTATCTGTCTTACCTTGCAGATGGTCACTGACTTGGCAGGTTATCATCCATTTCCCTGGATTCTCCACTATCATTTCTGTTGTGAGGAAGGTGGCTGGGAACAGGTTGACAACATCTGCCCGGTGCCCTCTGGTGATGAAGGTGTTACCATAAAAATAGATGGAATGGATGTCTATCTCATTCCCCATCCCAAACAGGTGCCAGGACACAGATTCACCAACACACATCTCAGGCTCGGGGAAGTTTCCGAAAAGGAATCCATTGAGGGCTGCAAACACAAACACACCAGTGGAAGACACTCCCCTTGGCAACATACTCACCAGCAAGGCTGGACAATCAGTGTGGGCCATTGCTATAATGTTTTCCTGTAGCAATCTCCAATATGAAAGAGTCTCACCACTCAAAGTGCTGAGAACAAGCAGCTCTGAGTGCTCAGCCCTAAACGGGACATCTTATCAACACCCCCTGAAAAAGCTCAGGAAACATTGTGACCGAGGGGGCAGAAAGAACTTTAAGAGTGACAGAATGAGAAGGGGAGCTGTGAAGTGTTGGCGTTTGGACATGGTGTGGCTGTAGTGCTCATGAACTCAGCATCTGTGGTTACCTGTACAAGATTAAGTCAGTTAAAAAGTCCAGCAAGGATAAGGGTAGGGACTCAGGTGTCTGTCTGAGTTGTAACTCACAGTTGATGGATGCTGAGGGAGAGAAAGTCACTTTTCTTTGGAAGTATAGTCATTGATAGGTTGTCCGTGGCCCAGTGAGTGGCCATAGCATGCGGAGGCACATATGGACAGTATTAATTGGACTCAGAAGGTTAAAAATAAATAAATAAAATGTGAAATGAAGATATGAGGCTGGGACAGAGATGTGACAGAGGTCCTTAGAGCAGAGAGTAGGGTAGATACGATAAAGATGCATTGTATATGTTTATGAAAATTTCAAAGAATAAATTAAAGTAGTATTTGGGGGCTAGAGAAATGGTTCAGCATTTAGGAGACGTTGCTATTCTTGTAGAAAACCTGATGTCATTCCCAACACCCACACCGGTGTGTCACTTTAGTTCCAGGGGATCCAGTATTTCCTTCTGGCCTCCTCAGGCGCCAGGCACAGACATACATGCAGGCAAAATACATATACACTTTTTAAAAAAGCTATTGTTCCTAATATGGTAATGACTCAGACAGCCCTGTATTGATCAATAAACCTTGTATTGATTTGACACCTTTTACAGATCAGTTTCTTGTCAAGTTATTTCTTCTATAACTGATGTGTCTCCTATGCTAGGACTTACTATGTGCAAACTCCTACTTCTGCACACACACTGCTTTTTATTCTAAAAGTAAGTTAATTCTGCTTACACAATTTATTTCTTTGTGGGGTGCATTTCATTACAAAAGAATAAGTCCTGAATGGCAGGGGGTTGCATGGGTAGCTGAGTCTTGAACTTTCTGGGTTTCTGCATTGTTTGGGGTCTCATCCCCACGTTGTGAAGAACAGAGAAAACTGGTCCCAGCACTGATTCCCACTCAGGTCCTGTCCACCCCTCTCTTCCTTGTCTTCTTTGCTTCCTGTCCTACCCTTCCTTTCCCTTCCCTCCTAAAACACTTGCCAAGCACCACTACATACAAGATTGACGAAATATCACCAGAGAGAAGATGGAGGGCATGCTATATAAGAGATGGCGTGTGTTCTGACTGACGGTCCTGCCGGCCTGTGTGTTAGAAGCAAAGGCAGCCAAGTGGAAATGCATTGTCTGTGGGCTTTCTCTCTCACTCAGGCTCTCTCAGGCAGCTCTCTGGTACAGATTACCCCCTGGCCTCAGTCTGTCATTGATGGTCTTGACATCAGACTCTGCCCACATCACATGCTGCAGCTCCTTCTCTTTCTTTTATGATTTCTACAATTGAGTGAACACAAGGTTCATAGTGAACACAAGGTGTATAGTGAGTGCTCACTAAATCTTGATGATTTAAAGAATGCCAGGAAGAGACTAAATCTTGATGATTTAAAGAATACCCAGGAGACAACAAATTCACAAGCATGCCTTTCAACTCCATGTACAACATAGTTCTGAGAATTTGGCAAAGGCTTGGAAGGTATTTGCTGGATAAGCAGAAAGTTGTTATGTGGTGAGATTTTATTCTCCCTTCTGGCAGTCTAAATCCATCCATCCTCTGGGCTTACTTCAGTGCCTAGTCCCTTCCTGATGATAATGTTTCCCTTCTTTTTTCTATGCCACTGTCTTGTCCATCCTACTCAATGTAGCTTACGTACATGGCCTTGCCCTGTCTCAGATGACTGGGATTCAAGGTGTATTGTATCTTATTCACTTTCAAACCACTGTCTTCTGAATCTACACATCTTGCAGAATAAGGTTCAGGATTTCCACGTCTTGCTTCTCTGAAATACCTCATCATTCAGAAAGCTCCATTGTGCTTCTGAGAGCATGGTACACACTCACCATGCATCTTATTGCTCCTCTGGAAAACAGCATCACTTTTGTCAACGGAATTCGGGTCAGTGCAGAAATGCCTGATGTTTTCATCCAGGTACCAGCTCTGGTTCTCATCCACAAGAGTGAACATGATAACAAACTCTCGATCTACATCAATCCTTGTCCCTGAGTATTTGTTCAGTATACCTTTCAGGAACACCAAGAGAGTGAAGAAAAGGCAGTTAGAGGTAAATTAAACCCAAGTGAAGAGTCTCTCCTGCCAACAGCGTTCAGTGGGCTTGACAGGGATAAGTCAGAATAACCCACATCCTCCAACATACAAGGAGGAGCCCGCTCTGTTGCAAATGACAGAACTGTAGAAAGGTCACAAGGCAGAAGTCTTGAGCAATGAGGACTTGGAGGCCTGGCCACTTTCCGAGGAGCAAGTATAGACAATACAGACATGTGGAATCAGCAAGAGCAAACCGAAGGCATCGCTGGGCAGTCAACTGCATTGTTCACTCTCCTCCATGTAGTCTTACGGAATTTTGTTTTTATTAAACAATAGACATGAATTTCAGAACTCTGCCATGATTTGTGAAGAGTGTCTGACTTGTCTGCTCTGCTAGTGTCAGCATGACCTTCCATGTTGCCTACAGGAAGATTAGTGGAAGACTCACATCCAATTTGAAACAAGGAAGGTAACGAAGCAAGACCTGAATCTTGTGCACACTTTCAACACCCTCCCCATTCATGCACAGAAGCTTTTGCGGGTGGAGAGACTGCCTACCTTCCTTACACACCAGTAGGGGTCCAATCAGCCCAGAACAGATATCCTTCGGGGCATCAATGTGTGAGTGGTACACCCAGGTTAGGCAGCTGGCATCTGCTGGGGCGGGTGCATATTCTTCTCTCACCGGCCAGACATAGGTGTAGTTTTGGCCAGGGGGGACCATGTCATCATCCTTGTTCTTTCCAGATGTCCCATCTGGGTACAAGGCTCCTTTCACCCAAAAGAAAAGATGCTATTAAAACCCAGAGATTTCATGCTACAATGGAGAGGGCAGAACTTTCAAATCCAATGTGAATGGGTTTAAATGTATCTGCTGTGGAACGTGGGGTGAAGCCTGCTGAGTTCTTGTGCCCTGGTTTTCACTGGCAAAGCCAGAATACCTCTGCAAAGTCAGGAGGACTCAGCGAGGAAATGCATACAGATTGCTTCTCCCAGAACCACAGGCTTCCTAATAAAGATGCTGATGGTCCTACTGTACCAGTCCAAAGGAGTTCAGTTCTCCTCACTTGGCCATTGTCTTGAGACAAGACAGACAAACAGTGAAGAAAATAATGAGCACCATTTGGGGACTTATTACAAATTCATCCCCCATGTATATATCACGAGAGATGAGAAAGTGGGGTTAGGACTTCTCCTGGCTTCCAAAGGCTTCCATCTTGTAGGACAGACTGGGGTTTGTATTATGGACACATGGACAGCTGGAGAATAAAGCAAAGTAGTGTGAAGAATGTAATTTTGGATCAGAATACACAAGCAGAGACCTAGGAATGTCAACAGCACAGTAAGTAAGGTGTGTAGAGCTGCTCTGAGCTACATTTTAAAGCTAAGATTCCTGCATGGAATTTTTCAGTTAAGGAAAGTTATTGCATGAAACAGTGTGGCAATGCATGCAGAAAGCAAGTGACCAATCTGAGCATGTTATCATCATCAGATGACAATGGATCTGCTTCATAATGGACTCAAGGGACCCGAAGGACCAGCAGGGCTTTCCCTATTACTGAAAAGCAGGGAGGACTGTTAGGGACAGAGGGTGGGATGGACATGGACATGCGCCAGGTCTATCCCCGTCACTCACACACCCATTTGCTCATTCACCGACATGAACTGGATATAGACCACATACTTATGAATGGGATTCATATTACAAGTCAAATTCAGATTAGACAGCAAGCCTAAGAAGACATAGGTCCAAATCTAATGTTATTTTCTTAACACATTTTACCATAAAATTGTAATTTGATATTTGGAGAAGGATGCCAGAAGAAAACAATAGTTAAGCCTACTGTATGTCAAGTACAGTGGTCCTGAGGATGGAACTGGGGACCTGATGCATGCCAAGCAAGTGCTCTACCACTGAGCTACGTCTTCATCCAGACATTTGTTCTTCAGCATAACCTGATCTAGTATGTACCAAAGTACTATTTCATAAGCACTTTCCCCACATGAGTGAGTCAGACTTGAGTGAATTTATGTCTGACTTTCTACCAAAATTATTGAGAAGAGTTTTTGGACCTCTTTTATACTTATTCGTTCAACTAAATTTCTTTTTGATATCAACTTTCAATAAGTTTTAGTGTTGAAATTAATTATATGCTACATAATACTTAAAGATTTAAAAAAAAGCTAGAAATACCTAAATATCTGTTGATAGAACCAGAGAAATTTTTCTTTAAAAAAAGCAAGAAATAAATTCAGTTAGTTAGATCTTGTCAGGAATAAGGTTGTATTTGGGTTATACTATTAGATATAGACTTGGTGTATATTAGATAATATAAATAAGTTATATTATTTCTTTTTCCGTAAAAGGAACTTACCAATTGCTAATGAGAGGTTCTGAGGGAAAAAAAAACCACCATGTAAGAGGTGGTCATACAGACATTATTCTGCAACATAATACATTACATTTTCAGTGTTCTCAAGAATAGATGCAAAACGTCCCTTCTTTTTAAGATGAGTTTTGCATCATCTTTCAGTAGGAGGTAAGGGTATTTTGACAAGGCTCTTTTTATTCAAAGTTAAACCACTGTGACTTACTACTTTTAACTTGATAAGGGTTTAATTTTACTAAAGAATAAAGTAAAGAAAAAAAATCCGGAAAGCTATTCTCAACCACTAATTCCCGGAGTCATTTTAAAGAGTCCCCCTGGTTTTCCTGCAAGGGCAGCCTCGATGGTGTTGACTCCCTCCCACCTTAGACACGTCCCGCAGACTTATCATCTTCCTGGGCTTTCTCTTCAGTCAACATAGCTCTTTCATCTCTACTTGCCATTCATCATGAGAGCTCCTCAGAACACAGCGCTGGCTCCACTTTCCTAAGCCCAGCACAGCCGCCAGACATGACAGTCGCCCTCCCTGCCATCCACCCAGCCACCTGTCGCCTCTGCTTTAAGACACCTGCACTTTGTACTGACACCTTCCTGTGTGACATTTCTGATGTAAATTTCCTCAAACAGAGCCTTTCCCAGGGTGCATCAGCGGCCATGCCTGCTCTTTAGCCTCCTCTGAAGGCACCACCAGCATTCAGCCACAGGTCTGCAGCAAAGCCCTACTCTTCCCTGAAGCACACAGAGCCCTCTGCCGCCCCCACCATGCCAGCACTCACCCAAACTGTCACCCTCTGTCACGTGTGTTTCTGCAATCACTTCCTATTGGCTTTCCCGCGTCTTTGTCTCTGTGGGGAGCGTTATCTTTTCCATCCCGATTCCAATGCTACTGTTCCCTACTTAGTCATCCCACAACCTTTCTCAAGCGCAGAGATGAAGCCCTGAACCCCTGCAACTAGGCCAGTTCTCTAAAGCATTCAGAGAGAGGGCGGCAAAGCCACGGGAATTAGACAGCCTAGAATCAAGCCCTCTCTATCATATCTTAGCTAGATGATCCAGCAAACTCCTTATTAAAAAGAATTTCAGACTGTAAAATAATAAAAAGTAAATACCTACCACATAAAGTCATAGAGGCTTGTTGAAACATCAAAAGAGCCTGTCACTGTGCCTGATGTTTAGTCCTAACATTGCTCATTTTAAAATATATGTATAAATGGCACATACAGCACGTAACCACTTGATTCATTTACAGCTTTCATGTTAGACTTTAAGAGCCATAGATTAGGGTTTATTTTCACGCGTGATTATACCCACAGGATCTACACCAGTGCCTGTTATGAGGGCTGCTCAACACATGTCTTTTGAATAAAGAATGAGTCCACGCCATTGCCTTGTGGTGTCATTATCCAAAGCCTTGAAAGTGAGATAGGGTTTACATATGGACAGACACGGGAGCAGATGTGAAGAGAACTGATAGGTGTGGGACTTGACATGAAGCTTCAGCTGGGATCCCTGTTCTTGCTTTGATTATGTAACACATACGGGCATGAATCACAATTCTTTGATTCACTGTGTGAGCTTTGTTCCAATGGGGAATTTCTGGTGGCTGTCACTGAAATGAGGGGCCAGGGCCCCACAAAAATTCTTGGTGCCTGTTTTCAAGGGAAGAATATCATTCGGGATCCAAAATTAAGTGTGAAAATGTAGTAGGAAAGTGATGCTGGTCCAAGCACTGATCATCTTCCAAGCTCCTTTCTCTACTTTTTCCCTGGAAGAACGTCTTAGAGGTGCTGACTGCGTGGTTAGTCGTTGTTGCAGCCCTACGATCCACCCAGCAGTGTCTGGTTCCCAGTGAGTATTAAGCAGCATTGAGCTGAGACCTCAAGACTACGAAGCTTGTTCATAGAACCAAGATGAAAATTGATCAAAGGACAGCTAGGATGTCAGCAAATCCAGAGGACTTTAAGGCTGGAGATGCAGGGAGCTGCTGGAATGTTTAGTCTCAAGTGCGCAAGGGCCTCCTTTATTTCCAGGATGGGGGTAGGGTGGGGAGGTTGGAGGTAACAACCGATCAAAGAAAAACAAACTGGTTTCAGTGCTCTGAGTGAAAGCACCTAGCCCTGTTGGTGTTGGAGCAACTGCTGAGTATTGGACAAGAGCAGGGGCTCTGCAGCCCTCCTGACTGAGGCTGCTCCTGTCTCACTTCCCATGGACACTCAGCTCCACTGGAGAGGTAGTTTGCTCAAAATGGTCCCAAACAAGATCCAGCTGTTGCAGCCGTGGTAAATGGAGAAATTGTTTGGTCTGGAGTGGTGGGCATTGCCTACACTCACTGCAATGTTATTTAGAAGGAGTGATTTGTCTGTCCTAGCCCGAGGTGATAGTTATGGTGGAGCAAACAGATCTCCGGCTGAGACAGCAGAGACTAGGAAGGACCTGAGTCATTCACACCCTCCTGGCTGACACAGACTGTCTGCATACAAAAAGAAAAAACACAGAGAGATGGCTCAATGGTTAAGAGCACTTGCTGCTCTTGCAGCAGAGGACCCAAGTTTTGTTTCATCAACCATATCAGATAGCTCACAAATGAGTAACTCCAGCTCCAGAGGATCGGATCTGATGCCTTCTTCTGACTGATTTGGGCACACACACACACACACACACACACACACACACACACACACACACACATGAACTAATAACCGTGAAGGCAGATGAAAACAGCTTGAATGTGGAGGGTGCTGTCAGACCCACTGACACAACACAGGACCCCCCGGCTCACGATGCTCAAGCATGCCCTCTATCCAATCACTTGCTTGGCCACTAAGCTAAGCAGATGGGAGAATCCAGTCTTTAAAATAAAAACAAAAACTAAATGAAGCATAATGAGCATAAGGTCTAGGGCAAACAGATTCCACAGTCTGGGCCTGGCAGCTCTCTAAACAAGAAGGGATGGGAGCAAACAGCAACGTGGAAGAGGGGAGGGATCGCAGTCCAGAGCTGTAGCAATTTTTAGAGGTGTCCAGTGGCTGCTGCAGCATGTATCGCCCAACCACAGCACAGGCTTGGTTGCAGATTTGCAGTGTGGGTCCCATGGCTGCAGAAAGAAAACCTGCAGGGGCTCCTGGGTAGAACTGCTCTTGGGCCTCAGTTTCTGTTCCTATGGCAACACGAAAGACATCCTGCAGGAAACCAGTATGAAGCTGGAGAGACTAGCTCCCAGAGTTCTCACTGTGACTGTCCACCTGGCTTCTCCACACCACAAGACAGTAACTCCCTCTGAGACAGACAGACATGGCGGCATCAGAGGGGAAAGCAGTAAACAGTCTGAGGTGGATCATATTGAGAGAAGGAAAGAAACTGAAAGCATCTTTAAGAAAAACTCAG